CAATACCACGGTTTGACGGTTTCGCGGTATACGGTATGTTACAAATGTTACAAAATAATAGAACAGTGAAGCAAATTTGACTTTTTCCAAATAATATATTTTTAGTTACTATAAACAACACCACTTACAATGAACAAATAAAAATAAGAAAATAATAAATAATGTGTCAAAGTCCAAATAAAGTCCAAATAAACATGGTGCAAATCCTCAGTAAAAAATAGGTATAAATATTTACTATACTATAAATAGTTACATAACGAAACTAGATTCAATATGGAACATCCTTAGGTTTTATGTGCCAGCATGGATATGGTTGTCTGTGGATATGGATTTGGATATGGTTGTCTGCAATGCAGACAAACAGCTGCATCTTCATTTGCGTCTTTTGAAAACAGCAAGAGCAGCAGTTCGTCTTTGCTGTGTCACTGTTTTGTCATGTTTCTGTGCTGCTGTGCATGCAAAAGTACTTAGTATGAGAATTATTTCATGCAAAACTTTTTTTTTTGGCGTTTTATTTAGCCGCGCATAAATGTATGCCTTTCTCTCATTCCGTGTTGTTCAAAAAGCTTGGTCCACAAACAAAAGCGAAACCTATGCTTATTGGTTGTGATATAGCGAGTTTGAACCAATCTGGGCATGGAGGAGGGACAATGCATCAATGTATCATGTCTGATTTGTCCGGAGACACAGTGACGAGCGTTTCTTTGTCAAATCAGCGTTGTCAAATGTTGATGACGTAACCGCACTGATTCCGGAGCCTCTGAAAGTCCGCGAATGTTATGTGATACAGCACTGGAAAGCTGAGATTCTCTTCTTTATGCCAATCTTTGAATTGTATGAATCGGATCAGCGGATCAAAAGTTATTAAACATTTAAGAGCAATACTTATTTTTAGCCGCGGGCGGCTGTCTCTGTTTTTAAGGGTTAAAACCGTTGATATGCAATTGTTCATGGTATGATAATCGTGCACGTTCAAATCGTGGTAAACCGTCATACCGGTATATTGTTACAACCCTAATGCTTACTCAGCTGTTTGATTTGAATCCAATGCGGAAAAAAGTAGTTCCTCATACAAAAGGATTTTTGAGACTCTCCATGTTGATTTTGTTTTTATATCCACAATTATGCCGTCAAACTGTTGTATAAACGCAATATCACACTTGTAGCAGTGCGATATGGCCTCGTGCCAATGCACGCCTCCCACCAGTGCCGATATATAGCCATATCGCACTGCTACTCGTGTGATATTGCTTATATATATACATACACACACACTCACCATCACTTTATTAAGTACACCTTACTAGTACCAGGTTGGACCCCCTTTGCCTTCAGAACTGCCTTAATCCTTTATGGCATAGATTTAACATGGCACTGCAAATATTCCTCAGAGAATTTGGTCCATATTGAAATAATAGCATCACGCAGTTGCTGCAGATTCATCGGCTGCACATCCATGACGCAAATCTCCCGTTCCACCACATCCCAAAGGTGCTCTATTGGATTGAGATCTGGTGACTGTGGAGGCCATCTGATTACAGTGAACTTATTGTCATGTACAACAAACCAGTCTGAGATGAGCTTTATGACATGGTGCTTTATCCTACTGGAAGTAGCCATCAGACTGTGGTCATAAAGGGATGGACATGGTCAGCAACAATACTCAGGTGGCCTGTGGGATTGACGCGATGCTCAATTGATACTAATCGGCCCAAAATGTGCTAAGACAATATTCCCCCATCCAGTGCACTGCCACCACCTGCCTAAACTGCTGATACTAGCCGGATGAATCCATGCTTTCATGTTGTTGACGGCAAATTATGACGTACCATCCGAATATCACAGCAGAAATCGAGACTCATAAGACCAGGCAATGTTTTTCCAATCTTGTCCAACTTTGATGAGCCTGTGTGAATTGTAGTCTCAGTTTCCTGTTCTTAGCTGACAGGAGTGGCACCTGGTGTGGTCTTCTGCTGCTGTAGCTCATCTGCCTCAAGGTTGGACATGTTGTGCATTCAGAGATGCTCTTCTGTATACTTCGATTGTACCTTTCTATCAGCTGGAACCAGTCTGGCCATTCTCCTCTGACCTCTGGCATTAACAAGGCATTTGCGCCCACAGAACAGCCACGCACTGGATATTTTCTTTTTGGACCATTCTCTGTTAACCCTAGAGATGGTTTTGTGAGTGTATATATGTGCGTGTGTATTTTTTTTGTTCTGTTTCATTTGTGTTAAATTAGTGTATTATTATTATGATAGAATCACAAATCTCTGCACTCAAGGCATGTGATTTTCTTAACAAACGTTTTCATATTAATGATATTGATGTTTAATAATAATAATAATAATAATAATAATATTAATAATGATAATTGTAAGGAGTCAGGGGGCCTTCCGTAACTTGCAGGGCCCTACACACCTTGCGTGGTGTCCGCGTACAGATCAGTCCATATTTTTATGATTAATGTTATGTACTGAACAGTACTTTATAGTTACAGTAACTTACAAATCCAAGGCACAAATAAAGTACTTTTTTGCTTTGGACAGACAAAAAGAAAAGAAAGGAAATTCCAGAGTTATCATTTACCTCAGAGGAGCTGGAAAACGGATCTGCCCTGAGGATGATGTCATCGGAGCAAGTCCGTGTGTATTATGTTCCTGTCGTGCTTCCTGTTTTATTGGAAAATGGACTGTGAGAGAGTGAGCGAGGAGATAGGAAAATGAGGGGAAGCTTGTGTTTCGGTTTGTTTTGTCCTGTCCACTAATGCACCTGCCTCTGAGCCTCCAGTCTCTGTGTCTGGATGATGTCATTCTGAGCTGCCGCTGATTATAGACACGCAACAGTTACTCTACTCGCATAAACAAGTGGACATGCACACAAACATGTCATTTTGATGGTCATCAGGAGGGAGTCACCGGCTAAACCACGATATGATACTGTCACAATATGTTGCTCATTTTAATGTTATATTGATATATAATAACAAAACAATTAGTCCTCCTTTGACATATAATGTAAGCACTGTTTATGGAAAGAAGATTTGTAACACATCATCGTTTTAATAACAAATTTATTTTCACTTTTCCAGGATGATAGTACATAATAATTAGTTATATTTGCAAAATACAAGTATTCAAGTGTAATTTAAAGTCCTAAATTGGCTACATAGTTGAACTAAGCAATGTTGGTTAATTAGGGAAAGTTACATTTTCTAAAGACATGGAGAGCAAAACTAACAAATGCAGAGTGAAAATAAATTTGCACCAAACTTATTCTCCAACTCAATGGCGAGTGAAGTTTCAATTAAATTAAATTCAATTCAATTCAATTCATCTTTAGTTCTATAACGCTTTTACAATGTAGACTGTGTCAAAACAGCTTAACATAGAAGATCATAGTAAATTGAAAGAATGTCAGTCCAGTTTTTAGAGTTTAAGTTCAGTTTAGTTAAGTTCACTGTGGTTTAATATTCACTGCTGAGAGTTCAAACACTGAAAAGCAAATCCATTGATGCGCAGCTCCACAGTAGCAACAGTGGCGAGGAACAAACTTCACCATTTGATGAAAGTGAAGGGGAAAAAAATCCTTGAGAGAAACCAGGCTCAGTTGAGCACAAACATTTCTCCTCTGGACAAACTTCTTGTGTAGAGCTGCAGTCTAGGTGCCGGAAGCTGGAGAACGCTGGACGTCCATTGTGGAGAAGCTGCAGGTGGGAGAGGTCACCGGCTGGTGTACAGGCTGGTCATTCAGGATCAATGTAAAGACTTGTCTGTCACTGGGTCTCATGCTCTCCACCCCTCCATGACCGCCACATCAGCTGCTCAGGATACGGCCTGGTCCACGATTATGGAAACGTCAGGAATAATAAAAACAGACTAACATAAGCGTAGATGCCGTTCAAATTATAACGTCTTTTTGGGAAGTGTTCACGGCTCCAGTTGCCCTAAATAAAACAGACTAACAATACTTTAAAGGATTTGGATCTCAAAAGCATCTGTGTTTTATCTGTATGCTATTGCATAGTAGCCAGTGGTCAACAGTAGGGCTGCACGTCATTGGAAAAATCTGATATTACAATATTTTATTTTCCCGCCTTAAAACAAGCTAAACTATTTGCCAGTGGGCTAAATAAAATAATCTTGTTTTCGTTTTGAAATATAGATATTTTCACTAGAAACAAGACTGAACTCTTTTCAAATAACTCTTATCATATAAATTCTGCATAAAAATAAATTCTGTAGCTCCTGGTCAACTATAATTCAGACTCAACATTGTGTATCTTTTGATGTGCCTTTTGCGGACGCGCACATTGCGATATCAATAGTGAAACAATATATTGTTCAGCCCCAATTATCAGACATGTTAATTACATTGTAGAAGGTTGATATGTCTAACGAAATTTCTACACAACCTAACACAATTAGGATTGTCTCGCTAAAGGTAAAATCATATTCTTTTGTCTCACCCCTAGTCACTATAGATTATATAATATCGCATTGCTACAGTGTCGGAAATGGCAATCAAGAGAAAACAATTAATTTTTTATTGTGTCTAATATAATTTACTGTGTTTTTTTCTGCAGTTTGTGACTTTATTAATAACTTATTTGAGTCTTTGCAGAGATGTATGGATGTAGTCCTCCAAGTTCATGGGAGTCATTCATACAATATTCATTCTTTTTCCAATGCACATTGACATTATATTCTATACTGTCCATTATTTCTGTTAAGACTTTTGTCTAAGCAAAGTCAGACCTTACTGTCCTAATTAAATTATTTAAAAATCAAGGCATGATCATATTTTATTTTGGTCAAATAAGTAATTTAAAGGCCTTTGCCTTTTATGTAAGCCAATTCTGATACCAAATGATCAACTAGAATTCAAGTTATTAGTGTGCTGTTCCTAAAACTTGGACAGGCGACAAGACTTTTGTCAGGTACTGTATATTTATTGATATGTACAGTTGATAATATTATTTTCTGTGTTTTTTTCTGCAGTTTGTGAATGTGACTTGGCTCAAGGAGGGTTTTTTGTGCGTCAAGGCGAGTATATCTGCACTGTGGATTACCAGCGACTCTATGGCACCCGCTGCTTCAGCTGTGAGGAGTTCATTGAAGGAGAGGTTGTGTCTGCCCTGGGCAAGACTTACCATCCACGCTGCTTTGTTTGTGCCACCTGCAAGTAAGACACACTTGCATACTGTACACACTCGCATACATTCACTATTGTACATTTAACTTTAGGTTTATATTTACCTTGTGGTGGATAATGTAAAATGGTAGTAACCAAATTTCAAAATGGTATTCACATAGTTTGTTCAATATGAAATCCAGGTTATTATAGTTAATGGAAACTAAAACATAAACCATAAGATTGAAGCTTATTCATTCATTTTCTTTTCGGCTTAGTCCCTTTATTAATCAAGGGTCGCCACAGCGGAATGAAACGCCAACTTATCCAGCATATGTTTTGTGCAGCTGCAACCCATCACTGGGAAACATCTATACATGCTTATTTACACTTATACACTATGGACAATTTAGCTCCCCCAATTCACCTATAGCGCATGTTTTTGGACTTGTGGGGGAAACCAGAGCACCCGGTGGAAACCTACGGAAACAAAGGGAGAACATGTAAACTCCACACAGAAATGCCAATTGACCCACCAACCTTCTTGCTGTGAGGCGATCATGCTACCCACTGCGCCACCATGACACTCCTAGGATAGAAGTCTTACTGGTATTTTTTTTTAACTATAAATAAAATAAAAGTTAAGAAAAAATAAATAAATACCCAAATAACCCACTCACTCACTTTCTTTTACTTGGATTAGTCCTTGCGTTATCAGTGGTCACCACAGTGGAATGAACCACCAATTACTCTGCCATATGTCTTAATGGTTCCCTTCCTGCTCTTTAACACTTGAACCTACAGTTCTGGAAAAAAAAAACTTTGTCATTCACACACTCACCTTTACACTGGTCAGTTTGGCGTATCCAATTCACCTTTATCATGTACTGTATTGGGACACTGGGAGAAACTAGGGAAACCAGGGCACCCCAAGGAAACCCATCCAAAACATGCAAATCCATACAGAATGGCCCACTAGCCTTATAGAAAAATTCTAGAACCATATAGAAATATTTGAATAATATTAATAATATAGACAAAAGCACAATTTTTTTTTTACTAATTTATGTAAAAAAATCATTATTTACTTAAAATTAATTGTAATAGAAAATAAGTCAAGGGAATAGCAATATTTAGTGATGATATGTGAGTAATCAACTTTTTATAATTGGTTAGTAGTTTAATTGATAAAATTAAATTATAATAAAATCCATAGATTTTTTCAAGGTTACTACCTGTCAAAAGTCTTGTCATCAATGGCATCAATTCCAGCAACAAATATGAAAAATTGGCAGATGGTAGAATTTTCCAATGAATCATCTGTTGAACTGCATCCCAATCATCACCAATACTGCAGAAGACATATTGGAACTCACATGGACCCAAGATTCTCACAAAAATCAGTCAAGTTTGGTGAAGGAGAAATCATGGTTTGGGGTTACATTCAATCTGGGGCTTGCAAGAGATCTGCAGAGTGGATGGTAACATCAACAGCCTTAGGTATCAAGACATTTGTGTTGCCCTTTACATTAGAAACCAAAGGAGAGGGCAAAGTCTTCAGCAGGATAGCGCTCTTTCTCATACAGGTCAAAGTGCTCCAAAATTGGCCAGCCCAGTCACCAGACATGAACATTATTGAGCATGTCTGGGGTAAGATGGGGGAGGTGACATTGAAGATGAATCCAAAGAATCTTGATGAATTCTGGGAGTCCTGCAAGAACGCTTTCTTTGCTGTTCCAGATGACTTTATTAATAAGTTATTTGAGTCATTGCAGAAATGTATGGATGCAGTCCTCCAAGTTCTTGGGAGTCATGCACAATATTAATTACTTTCTCCACTGCACCATGACTTTATATTCTATAGTTTCCATTATTTCTGTTAAGACTTTTGTCTAAGCAAAGTCAGACATTACTGTCATAATTAAATGATTTAAAATCAAGACATGATCATATTTTATTTTGGTAAAATAAGTTTAATCTAGAGGCCTTTGCCTTTCATATAAGCCACTTCTGATACCAAATGATCAACTAGAACTCAAAGTATTTGTTTGCTGTTTCTAAAACTGGGATAGGTGACAAGACTTTTGTCAGGTACTGTATATTTATTGATATGTACAGTTGAAAGTCAAAATTCGAAGGTCAATATTATTAGCCCCTTTAAGCTTTATATTTTTTTCGATAATCTACAGAACAAACCATCGCTATACAATATCTTGCCTAATTACCCTAACCTGCCTAGTTAATCTAGTTTACCTAGTTAAGCCTATAAATGTCACTGTAAAGAAGTGTCTTGAAAATATCTAGTAAAATATTATTTACGGTCATCATGGCAAAAATAAAATAAATCAGTTATTAGAAATGAGTTATAAAAACCATTATGTTTACAAGTGTGTTGAAAAAATCTTCTCTCCTTTAAATAGAAATTGGGGAATAAAATAAACTGGGGGCTAATAAATCAGGGGGATAATAATTCTGACTTCAACTGTATATAAATATTATTGTTATTTGTTTTAATACTATCAATATATATATATATATATATATATATATATATATATATATATATATATATATATATATATATATATATATATATATATATATATATATATATATATATATATATATATATATATCTTTATAATAAATTATTTTATTATAATAAATTTGCAAGCCTCTGATTTGCTATGCCCTTAAGAATGCATAACTTTTGCTAAATTCATTTTAAACATATAGCCATAATATTTTTTTTACCAAATACATTCTGATCAAATAAAATTTTGATAGAGCAAATAGTTCCCCCTCATGAAGACTCAAATTAAATGCACTTACTGTATTGTATTTGTTGGAGTTTTGTTTTAAAATGTTCTGTGGGTGCTTGTGTATGTGTGAACTTAATGGGAAGTCAATCTTGTTACTCAGGGTGGGGAAGGAAAGGGTTTCAGTAAGAATGTTAAGTGTGTGCTCCGCTCCTAGGCCACTTATTTACAGAGGGGTGTAGGGTGTCCCTCTGAATGGATGTTGTGTATGTGCATGTGACACGAGTCCCTCCTGCATTTACCACAGCGATGCCCGTGTTTCTGTGGACACGCTGTTCCCAGTTGGTATCTTGGGTGCGACTGAATTTAAAATCACCTCGTAAATGTCTCGTTTGTATTTACTCTGGATGACTCTATCCAGCCTTTTCCAACACTTAGTGCTTGTGTGATTGCTAGATTGAAATGATTGTTGTAATTATAACTTTAATGGCAGGCTAGCAGGTGTGAAGTACACAGGCTCTTTACTGATGATATTTGTACAAATTCAATTCACAGACGCACAGTACCTGTTGTAACACCGAAATAAATAGATATTTGTCACAAAGAGTTGAAGTTAGATTACATCAGACACTGGTGTGATAATCGGATTAAGAGATTCACTCTTAAATTGGGTGATGAGAGCTGATGATCAACATACTGTGATTTCATCGGCTCTCACACTGAACTATGAGCCAAACAGATGACTGGACCTGAGCCATCAAGCCTGTTTCATGCTTCAACTGAGAGTATTGTTCATGCCCTATTTCATGTAGCATTATTTAAATTAATTTAGAAGATTTTTTATGTAATAATATTAGTTTATAATCATGTGAAACTTAAAAAGGAGGTACAAAAGATATGGTATTCATTTTCTCTTGCTTTATTAAAAAAAATTGCATGCATATCTTATACATTAAAGGGATAGTTCACACACAAAAAATGATAACTTACTATTTACTCACCCTCTAAGTGATTCTAAAATGTTATGAGTTTCTTTCTTCCGTTGAACTCAAAACAAAAAAGTTTTTTAAGAAAACTGAAAACCTGTAACCATTAACTTTTTCCAGGATAAATAAATACTATGGAAGTCAATAGTTACGTTTCAAAATAACTTCTTTTGTTTTCAACAGAAGAACAAAACTCAAACAGGTTTCAAACAAGTGAATGGAGAGTAAATGATGACAGAATTTTTTTTTAACTATTCCTTTTTACATGCATGTCATGCCATGGCATTGATGGTATATTGGTTAGTTACGTTAGTATTTGCATTTCCAAAAGAAAAGATGTAATTTTAGTACTTTTGCTTCATTTATAAGTTTTAGATTTCCACTGTATCCAGTGCAAATCAAGTCCATACTTATTAACTTATTGATTTATTTATTTTAATTGAAAATCAAGATTATTACACCAAATATGGATTTCCTAAATCTTTTGAAGTTAAAACTCTGCGTGTCATCAAAAAATGAATATAAGCATGTCTGTAAACTATTACTTGTTTCATTATTTTGACCAATTCTCATTTTCTGCAAGGAAATATCAGGAAATGGAACTGTCTTTAGTAGTTTACACAATAAAATCAAAGTGTAATTTTACTGAAACACATAACCATAAATTGAGGAAAATTTTCAAGTGGAAGTAATCATTGGCATTGCATGCAAAATGCATTTGCTTTCATAGCTTAGAAAACAGAATAAACACAAATGAAACTGTTTCAGGCCTCAACTACAGCTACAGTGATCGACAGTCAAAGTAGAGTAGCATATATTGTTTGTGGACGCTAATTGTAGACCTTTGTGTGTTATTATGTTAATGTGTTGCTATTTACAACTTGTTCCAGGCTGCTTAAAAAGAAAATTTATATTCATTAATACTTTAACATTTTATGCAATTTTTTAAATTAATTTAAAGTAAGGGGTGGCACAGTGGCTGGGGCAATTGGCATTTGTATGTGGAGTTTGCATGTTCCACCAGTGTTTGCGTGGGTTTCCTCCAGGTGCGCTGGTTTCCCCCACAGTCCAATGTGTATATAGGTGAATAAAATAAACTAAATTGGGCGTAGTGTATCAGTGTAAATGTGAATGAGTGTATGGGTGTTTTCCAATGCTGTGACAGTTGAGTTTAAGGTTGGGGTAGGTCCGCAGCCGCTAGATCTCTGGTGATTGTCACAGTTCACATAGCAACATTATTAGAGTAGTAAAATAAACATTTCATAGTTTACAGTGCATTATATGCAGCCTACAAACAATAATCTATTATTTCACTTTTTTAACCTCATGTTAATCTTTATATGTTTACTATCTTCATGAAAACAGTTTGACAGAATTTTTGTTTCCCTATTTTTACAAGAAAAATCTATAAATATTATCGTAACATTACGTGTTACTCTCTAAAAGTACATTAAATTTCCTTTAAAAAGCAGAAAAATAACGTAATACCAAATTCCAAGCAATAACTGTAAATTTAATGTTAGATTTTTTTATTACAGAACATATCTGTAAAACAACAGGTATTTCACTGTACAGTATCATGAAAAAACTGAAAAATTCTGTAAAACAATAGAAAATTGCCTGTAAAATAATTTTTTTTTTTTACAGTGTATAGTATAGTTCAAAAACACTGTATGTAGGGTTTACTATAAATTACTTTAGTAGTTTTTTTTAATGTTGGCTAACATAGCAAAACATCCATTAATTTTCACATTTATTATAATCAGTTATGATGTGGAAGTTTGAATACACAAATGTCTAAATCAATTACAGTGTTATTGCTACTGAAAAGTGAACATTTCCCTTTAAAACAGTCATACATACAGATACAGTACAAGGGTCTTAAAACATGTCTTTGCTTTCAGTTGCATTAAAATACATTTGCCAATGGTCAATTCTTATATCTTTTTACATACACACTTAATGTAGCTTCCCAACATCCTGTCCTAATTTAAAAGGGTTTTGAGAAACTAATTGAAAGTTCGTCTTCTTATGAAAGTCACTTTATTACTTTGCTGAATGATAAGGTGACTGTATTTCTGGCAGGCAGCCGTTTCCAGCTGGCGACCGCGTGACGTTTAATGGGAAGGAGTGCATTTGTGAGAAATGTACTCAGCCTGTGCCAGTCAACAGCACGGCTCCCTCACAGGCTGTGCACAGTGAGTTCTCTGTGTTTCTGCATTGCTATCCGCATTATATGTTATTTTGTCTTTCTGACAGACGCACACTGACTCATTCAATGACAGCTTTCATTAGTACACCATAACACTTTTGTCTCACTCTCTTGGCAGATTGCTGTGGATGTGGAAAGGAGTTTAAAAGTGAGCAGTCTCTGGTGGCGCTGGACAAGCACTGGCACCTTGGCTGCTTCAAGTGCAAAGTGTGCAATAAAGTGCTTAATGCCGAATATATCAGCAAGTTAGTCCCACTCTCACTGTTCTCTGTGGATGGCTGATTGTGTGTGCTTTATTGATCTTAGTAATGTGTTGTGGTGATCTGCAAGCCTGTCGAGCCCTCTGGAATGACTCAGCGTTATTGATGTGGTCAAAAATGAAAGGGTTCTCATAGCAAGCTGAGATTTGCCACCATTTCTGACTTCAAGTGTAATGTGTGTTTATGCTCTGCAGGGATGGGATCCCCTACTGTGAGGCAGATTACCACGCCATGTTCGGCATCCAGTGTGAAACCTGCAAGAAATACATCACCGGAAAAGTACTTGAGGTTTGAAATAATTTTTACTATTTGGTAGAGATTGTTAACATCGTCTCATGTCAACATGATAGTATGTAGAATCGAACTAGGTATTTCAGTCCAAGTTCAAAATATTGTCATTTTGTTCATGCAGAGCGTTCTTGCAGGACCCACAGTGCGTCAGTATTCTTTGGATTCATCTTCAATGCCTCCTCCTTCATCTTACCCAACATGCTCAATAATGTTCATGTTTGGTGACTGTGCTGGCCAATTCTGATGCAAACAGAAATTGCCAGATTGATAAGACCAACAGGAGCGAGACAAAAGCGAAAAGTAGATTACATACAAAGTCAATGTAAACAGGTGAATTTCCCTCATTCAAGTCTTTCCATGCAAATTCAGATAATTCAACTTCAGAAGAAAAATTAGCTTGGTCTAACAGGGTTGTGCTTATTCTCTTAATGAGTTGTGGGTGTGTTTTTACCATAACCTGCATTAAACCAATCACATCTTCCATTCCCTTTAGGAGTCAGTTGCGTTGTGTCATGGCACATTTGCTATTTACATAGTGAAATTAGTAAATGGAAAAACTGAACACTTCACCAGCGAGAAAACAATTAAACAGACCATCTGCAGCGAGGATAAAAAACTAACCTCTTTCATTCGGCCTCTTTACTTTCTCTTTATTTTACTCTTTACTCCTTTTGCTTTTTGGATAAGGTAACGGTGTTGTACACACTCCAGTGAAGACATCCATTAGCCTACATATTTAATTTAGTTTACTAAGTGCAAAGATTTGTTTCAAAACTATTTCTAAATTCAGCTCTATTTTCCAGCAAATGAATAAATTAACAATAAAAGAAAAAGTTATTTTCAAACACACGTACTATTCTTATGCACGATATGGTGATGCCAACGTCTCTAAAACCTGACACATGGACAAATCTAAACTTGTTTTATTAAAACAAATATAAATATGCATATAATAAATATGACTACTAAAAATAATAACATTATACAAATACAAATTGTCATGAATAAACTGTAAAAAGCCCTCCAAGGCATGAAGGTTGTGCTTTTTATATTTAAAATAATATTATTAAAATAAAAAAATAATAACATTTTAATCCCTTAATTTTTTTTTCATGTGTAAAGATATTTGTGTATTGCTGTACATCATGTGTGTATTAGGCAATGCGCATAACTAACACGCTCTGTGCTGGACTTTTGACTAGCTTTTAGATGGTGCAGTCTATTTCAGTTTTTTTAAAATAGCAACGCACCAACAATGCGCCGTAACACACCTCCTTTCTAGACCGGCACACCCATGAGTCCACAAAGTGGCGCAAATGGATTTGCTATTTAAACAACGTGGTGCAAAACGTAAAAATTAGGTTTGCGCTGTTCTGAAAATAGCAACAAATCTCGTCATACATGACTTGCGCCTAATTGCACCAGGTGTATGGTAGGACCCTCTGTATTTTCCATCAAGGCAACCCAGGGTTCTGAAATCTAATTAAATAAACAACCAGTGGTCGGTGTTACACAGACCATAACAAAAACTGATTTTCCCAGTTGGAATGCACATATTTCAAGGAGAATAACTAAAACATTGTTTTTCAGATAAACTAGTATATATACTAAGCATGTCTTTTAAATATCTTTTAAGTCCTCCATACACTTTCCTTTTATTGTTTTACTTAAAGTAAATTAAGTTATGAATACTATTTCATGTTGATTTTAGCTTTGTCACCCCCTAAAATGTGTTTTCTTAAATTTTCGCTTTGAGTGTGCATGAAAGGCTTTTATTCTCATTTGTGAGCTTTAGACTGGTACTCTATAATCCCAGTGGTCATGTTGGAGGAGGCAGAAGCTGAGTGGGTGCTTACAAAGAGAATCTCAGGCAGTCAATTCAGAACCCTTCTGAAGTCTAATTACAGTCCAGAACAATATATCTCCTCATATTGCATGTCCCGCTCAATACTGCCATTTTTGCTCACATGCTTTTGTTTGTACATGCAACATCTTTTTTATAGACAGCTATTGTGTTGCAACCTGACAAGGACCCCGTTGATGTATTTGTTCTTTCTATCTGCAAAGATTTCCATTAGGTAATCTTACAAATGGATAAATATTGCTTTTAATTGAACAGCTTATGTGTTTATTTCATCATTGACACATATAAACAAGGATCTACAGCGATCCACAGAATCTACTCTGTGTTCCTCAGAGCTCTATAAATAAGTGTATCTGTGTGTGTTTATATGTGTGTGTCAGGAGTGACACGCTGTTTCTATAGCGACTGTCCCATTGGCTCCTCCACTTGCTCTTGGTAACCCTAAATTAGAACAAGTCACTGAGTGACATCATACCTTAGGATGGTAATTTTAACTAAACAGTTCCCGTGCCAAGAGCTTTCAGCAGATGTGAAATAAAAGAAGCCATGCAAAACTGCATCTTGGCATAAAGTTTTTGCCCTCAGCAACACTCAGGGCTAGTTGATACAGGTATCCTTATGTTAGCAACAATTAGCCCACCTTTCAGGAGTAATGCCAATTCACAAGCCTAGACAACGTCTGGGTACTGGGGTAATCAAATGTAAAGAGTTTTATTTGGTGTGGTGTGTATGAAGGATTTTTTTTAATGGTTTGATGTTATTTTGTGGAACTGTTCTTATGGAAAACGCCAAAGTTTACTCAGAACCACTTATTGAATGTTATGTATGAACCTAAAATGTCATGACATTTGATGTGGTAGGACTGTAACTGTTTTCAAAGAGGATAGGCATTGAAATAGAGGAGTGATGCACTAGATTTCCAATGCAGGTAATTATGACGCACTTGAAATGACACAAATCAGCAGCTTGACTGAAGAAGTGTGACAGCATGCTGAAAATGTATGATTATAGAAGCGTCCTTTAGGACTAAATGAAGGTTAATAACATTTGCTTGACATTAATCTTAGGCAATTAAATAAGGTGAATGAGATTTTACAAGTATGCACTCTCTCAGTGTGGATAGACCACTCTAAAAATGTTTATCCTTTACTAACATGCAGGGCTGTTTCCCAAAAGCATCGTATGCCTTAATAGATTTTAAAAATGATGCGACTGATCTCAAATTTTATGTTCTCTTTCCCAAAAACATGGTAACTAAAGTAGTATCTGAAAATTGTTGTAGATATATGAGTACTTTGGAGGGGTTTTGTAAGAATATAAAGTTATGAGGTCACATGCAGGGTAATTGGTAGATTTTCATTCATTCATTCATTCATTCATTCATTCATTCGTTTTCCTTCGGCATAGTCCCTGATTTACCAGGGGTTGCCACAGCGAAATGAACCGCTAACTACTCTGGCACATGTTTTATGCAATGGATGCTCTTCCAGCTGCAATACAGCACCAGGCTGGGAAAGAGTTTTTTTTTTACTCTTTTATTAATTAATTTTCTTTTTTAGCTTGGTCACTTTATTAGTCTGGGGTCACCACAGTGGAATGAACAGCCAACTTATCCAGCATATGTTTTGTGCAGCAGATACCCTTTCAGCTGCAACCAATCACTGGGAAACATCCATACACATTCAATTCACACACATACACTAGTCAATTTTAGCATATCCAATTCACCTACAGTGATGTCTTTGGACTTAAGGGGAAAACCGGAGCACCCGGATGAAACCTATGCAAACACGGGGAGAACATGCTAACTCCACACAGAAATGCCAATTGACCCAGCCCAGCCGAGGCTCAAAAAAAGCGACCTTCTTGCTGTGAAGTAACTGGTACCCACTGCCCCATCGCGTCACTCAGTTTTTTACTCTTTCCCTATGAAATTATAAATTAAATCCTTAAAAGTAATTTGCCAGTCTTTCAAATTAATTATATTTCTACATAATTGTTTTAATTGTTTATACATAATTGTTATAAGATGACGATTATTGGGTTAGACGTATAAGATGCAGTTCCACATAAGATTAAATTTCAGCACCTTGGAAATGGAAAGCAAACCTAAGTAGAAGCGACTTCTGAGTAGCACGTAGAATGAGTTTCCAACATTCCTAAAAATGCACTCTGAAATGTAAACTTGCATGTAGAGAACACTCTTAGGAACTAAGATACATCGTTTTCCAGGAAATTCAGCCCTGGAGAACATTCACGCCATATTTTAAAAAGTACAATACAAAGTTACAATCTGACTGAGCTAAAAGTGTTTTCACGCATGGCAGGTTGAATAACAGTGAACGCTGCAATGTTAACCTTGGTGTGCAGGTGGAGCTTTAGAGATGTTTAACTGAAATGTGAATGCAGCACAGACTAAGACAACTGAATAAACCAAAAACAGGACATGAAATAGCAAGATGTGACCATCAAAAAGACAGAATGTTCAATCATACTTTTTTATCATAATAGGGGCTTTTATGATTTAGCTTCTCCTTGCAGCATTTTTTTTTTTTTGCATGCAAAGAAGGAAATCTTGCTCATTTAATAAACTCTTTAAGAACTGACAGAATTCTCATTACATATTTATGAGTGAGTTCAGCCCAAGACACAGCATTTTTTGATATGTTCAGTAAGATTTGTAGGAAAATATACAAAACAAAAATGTTTATATTTATGTTTAGGTTCTGTTTTACACGTAAATGCTAAGTGAACCAGGCCTAAATGTATTATTTAATATTAATAGTTTTTAGTTAGAATGACATGAACTAAGAGAACTACAGTATAAAGTAATACTAATGTAAGTATTTCTCCATGTAACAGTGCAATGATTGACAGATTGATTAATGATACACTAGAGAAAATATAAGACATCAACTCAATAGTTTTTGTATTGTTTTACAAATATTAGTGCATCCGTATTCATTTACAGCATATTATCTCCCTGGAAAAATAGCTGAAACCATACATTTAGATGAACAGCAACTTGTCACTTGGCCAGCAACATAAAGGACTGTGGTTACACTACACTTTCCCATCAAATAGTGCAAGGTAATACGTTGTGTGTATATTACCAGATTAAAATGCAACTTTTAGGGCTAAAAAAAAGCCCATTTTGAAAACTATATAGTGACAAGCTGTTGTACCCTGAATGCACAACATACTAATTGACATACTAAGAATGAGATAATAAAAAATAGTTATTTTTTTAATTAGATATTAGATTTTTAATTAGATTTTGCACTTGAAAAATGTATGTCTAAAAGGTAATCATATTCTCTTGTGTTATAGAATGATAATGAGATTTCTTTCAGAGCAATACAGAAGCAATACTAAAGGCCATTTTAAGATAATGGTTTGGTTAAAGTTTAAACATAAAATGAATGTGACCATAAGAAGTGAAGTGTGGCATCTTTGCATCAACAGCTCATCAGTCTGTGTTCCCTCTACTGTACAAACACTGCTAGTGCAGATGTTTTTTTTCCCCTCATGCATAATGCAACTGCATCACAGCAGCATTTCAGCCACATTACATAACAGCAGTTATTTGGAAAAATAAATAAATAAATTGATTTTTTAGGAGGATGAAGATGAAATTATAAAAATAACTTTGAGTTATATTTTGTGTACAAATGTATTAATAAGTTATTTCTTTATTCCTTCATCTGGGTTGAATGTCTGATGCGAGCTCTCTTTGTTTATTGTTTGCAGGCTGGAGAAAAACACTACCATCCCACATGTGCCAGATGTGCTCGCTGTGACCAGATGTTTGGGGAAGGGGAAGAGATGTACCTGCAAGGTAGCTAAACGAAATTCAGTCGAATCCACATATTGAAAGTTTTTGGATATGTATCTGATATGTTTTGTATTTTACGCTAATGCTGTAAAACAATGTAGATGCAGAATTCTTAATGCGACAATAAAACACTCTTTTATATATAAATATAATATTTATAAACTCAGTGGAACAAATTATGAAAGCTATCATTATAGAATATCTTGTCTAGATACAAATAAATCCCTTATTAGTGAATGTTCACAGTTATTTTGTTTAATTGAGCCTTATAGTCTCATGAGTGACTTCGTCTCTGTGTCTCCCAAATCTGCTTGTAATGTTTAAAATATAAAGAACATTGATTTGTTGTGGAGATGCATTTTGGTTTGATGATTTGTGTCAGACTGCTGCAGGAAACAGTTTTTTTCTGTACAGTTCTCTAAATTTAGACCATAAAACTAGACAGGCAGGCAGTTCAGACACAGTTGAGGACTACTGATGAGGATAAATGAATCATATGTATCAGTGATTTTCATTTAATATACACTGAAATAAACTACTGTGTCTTTTATTCAAATACATTTTTATATTGGGTTAAGTGAAATTTATGGTTTCTGATTATAACCGATTTTATTCAATTAACTTTCAGTAAGAAACAAACCCCCTTATGCCAAGTTCAGACTGCATGATTTTCAAAGTACTCGTGTCAAAGATGTTTTCACACTGAATGACTATCTAGGCTAGCGCTTTCTCACTGCTTTGTTTACACTGCAAGATGGATCAGCAAAAGGGGGTTTCATACTGCATGACTTTAGAATAGGAAGAATCGCAGCCAACTTTGTCCAAACTACGTCTCACAACCAAAAACACACAGTAAATTTTTTGTCTTTAACTACATAATGAGAAACAACACTTTAATGGGGTAGAAAATGTACATATTTGCTCACCTTGGCTTGAAGGGAATTAGCAATTTCTCCTCAACTTTTTTCTTTTTTGACCAGATTGTGATATTGCTCACTTGACACTTCAAACAGACATGGGTGCTCCTGCCAAATTTTCACAAGTTTTTCTTTCATTTCTTGGGTCCAAATAAACTGAAAATAAGGTTTTTAACTTCTCCCCCAACCTCCTGCTGGCCTGCAGATATCTATACTAGTGGGTGCTGCTTTCTCATTGGCTATAGGTAAATGGCTGATGTTATTTTCAGTCAAAGCACATTTCACACCGCATGATGTGAATCACAGACAGCTCCAAATATTTAGCATGCCAAATATCTAAGGGGCATCAGCGACTCATCGGCAATTCTCTCAGATTGCATCTTTGATAGCTCACATTGTGTGATTATCACTCACGTCGCGTGAACGAGCACTGATTTACCTGCGAGTTCAGGCATTTGTCGCTAATTTCTTAAAACCTGTTGGTGGGTCAAATATTGAGCTAAAATCATGCAGTCTGAACTTGGCATAAGTGAACTTAAAAACATTCATTTTTCTCAAAGAAATATTTGACTTTAACCAGGAGTTGTCATCTCATGTGACCACATGAAAAAGGTACATTTATGTGCTTCAAGTTTTTATGTATTTCTAATATTTCTAATTTAAAGCCATACTGAAAGCACCAGCAGGTAGTTTACCTCATTATTTAAAAAAAACAAAAAACTAACAATAGTATAGCCTAAGTTTAGTCTAAAGAACAATTTTACTTGCATTTTGATTTCAAGTCGAACCAAAGTAAAAGCAATATTTACCTTTTGAGTCCATGTATTTTTCCTAAATATTTTGATCAATGTCAAAATACATTTTTCATTTTCAACCAAGTCAAAACTATAACTTGAGTTGAACTTTAATTTAGCTGTAACAAATTACAGTAATTAAAAAAAAAATGGTTCAAAGTGAATTTTGTCAGTGTACTGACACAAACAGGACAGCATAGTTTTATTTTGCATTTTAGGAGCAAAAGCAACAGTCAGTCAGGTGGAGCTAAAAGCTCATATAAAAGCTGTAAATTCCATAGTTGATCCGTTATAAATTATAACGCAGAAAATACACAGTTGGCATTTATTTTTTGTTTTCTGTTGTGTTCTATCTCCAACCTTGGAGTAATTCAGTGTTTTGTTAGACTCTGCGCAGTGAATTAGCAAACAAACCCACTGCACTGCAGTTCGTTTACAGAGATTTATAGTCAGATGTTGACGCTGCTTTGCATTTAAGAAGCAGAATCAGTTAGAAGCCTTTTTTTCAATCGAGCTGAAATAAAATGAAAGACTGCTGACTCACTTGAGAGGTGAATTATGGAGTTACTTAGTTTATGAGTGCCAGTTTATACTGCAGTTAATATGAAAATGCAAACTCCTCAGAAAGAAAAGTCATGTCAAAAGACAAAACTAAGAGAAATAAAGAGAAAATTTTAGTGCGCTCAAATAATCTTTCATCATGTCTAAAATCTACATAATTTGTAGTTGTGGTACTATTTTTTTAAATGTTTGTTTAATTTATCATGTTGTTGATTGTTAAAAAAAATCTAAATAATATTTAAAACAAAGACATTTATTATTTTTTATACATAATTATTACAAGGCTCTCTGGAATACTTGATTCTGATTGGTTAATCATGACATTCCATATATGGTATATGGTATTCCCAGATAACAACCACTGAAACTAATAGCAGGCTCATCCGGGTACTATGAATAATTTTGACTGCTATTGAATTAATTTCCATATTTACTTATATGCTTTATGATATGATTATCTCTCATGCTGCTGTTCTTGACTGTTTGGCGCCATCTTGTGACTCAATAAGTAGGTTAGTGTAGGCTGCATTCAGCCGTTTTTGTTACTATCAGATTTATAAATATGTTATTAAATGAATAAAGCTCAGATAAAAGAGTTGCATCCGATTATTTAGTTTTGTGACAATTCGCTATGTAACAGGGAGGGTAATGTACATCTAGTTAGTGGTTTTTGCAGAATAAAGCCCTGCAGACTTATACAACAAAGTCTGAGAAGCCTTTACTCTGCTAGAACAACCGCCTAGAGGTACATTATCCCTTACTTACACTTAAATTTGACCATTGAGGTGTCAACTTTATTTTTTGTCCTTCTTTTTTTACAGGTTCTTCCATCTGGCATCCTCCTTGCAGACAGGCAGCGCGTATGGAGGAGAAGAGCAAGGTAAAACTAACTGTAAAACTATCAGGTGATACAATACAAATGCCAAATTTTTGTATTTTAGTGAGCCTAGATGATATTGGTGAGATGATAGTATAACTACAGTCAAGGTGCGATTTAAAAAGGGGGGTTTGACACTCCTAATTAACGATTGATGCTCGTGAAGGATGTCAAGCAATATGTGTGGGTGATCTGCCCTTTAGATGGTAGATGAATGTTTGCACTGAACTATATTGTTTAGAAATAATAAAAACATACATTTGATCGTGCCTCCATGATGGTTCATATCAGCTCATGATCAACTCCAGTTGTCTGAATCTGGCAGATCGAGCACATATTTGTGTAATACTTAACCATGCCTTATTGAATAAAAAATATATATAATTAATTTTTTAATATATATTTAATTTACTTTATAAATATTTTTTCTTTAAAAACAATGTATAAAATGTATAGTTTTACTAGTTACATTAAAATATAAAATATTTTATCCTTCACAATCTGCTCTCTGTAGTGACATGCAACTGCTCTGTGTAAATTGTGTTCAGTACTTGTTTTACATGGTTGAACTATATTTGTTATTCCTGAAGTGAATCGGAAACTAAAACAATGCAAATAGTCTATAAATGCTGTCAGCTGATCTAGTTCATTCTAAGGTACTTTATATGATACTGTTTTCAGCTAAAACTTAAAATATTGTGCGTTTTTTTTTAATAATGGTTTGTGAACTGCATGATTAAAGCATTTAGAATATTGACAGCCCCAAAAATTTGCCAGCAGCACATGTGTCTGATGTTACAAACTAGAAACGAGCTCTGGTTTTAGGTTGCTTACATGATCAAAAACACATTATGCAAAGTCATTTAACAGGAAATCCAGCTACATTAGTTGCATACCTTAAACTAAGGTGATATGCAGTATGTAACAAGCCTTTCCCTGCAGAAACAGGTGCGGATTCAGCTCAGTGATCTCCATTCTCATGTACCTGAGCAGGTTTGTGTCATGCGGCCCTTTCCCTCTGCATGGGCTTTACCTCCCGACCCGCTTCCAGCTTTAATAGACGCTCGCTGGGGTCCAGAAAGGGCCGCCCCGTAGGCTAATGCCACACCTAGCCAGTAGAAATCTGGAAAGAAAGATTGTATGGTCAAATATTTAAACTGAGTTTAGAAAAGAAATAATTCAACCATTAATGCATTACTAATAATCCAGCAAAACATTTGTAATATTGTTCAAAGGCTCTCTGTAGAGTTTCTGTTTGTTTGGACTGCTTGATGTTTGATGGTAATACAATGACCTTAATTATTAAAAGAAAAAATTATGTGAAATATTTAAAAATATTTATTTCAGAGTATATATATTTTAGAGAATATACATAGCTAAAACACATTTAATAAAATAAATATATTAATAAATCTGACCATGATGTTAAGATTATGCTTAAAATAAGAACAAAATATGTGTCAAAACAGTAGTTTTTTTCTTTTACAAATACTTTATATTATACTGCAGTGTTTATACTGTATATTTTTGCAGGAAAACAAGACAAATAAAAAAAAAACAATTGCAGTAAAAATTCAACAAAAAAACCATCAATCCATTTGGCAAAGAGCTTTTTTAGCCTTCTTTTTAAAAATATTTTGTGTTGAGTGTTAATTCATCCAGGGTTACAGTAAAAAGTCAATAAAACGCGCTGGAATTTCTAGTCTTTTTGGTTGCTGATCTCCTATAGTTTAATGTCTTTTTATGTCTTTACTTTTTTATATTTCTCACCTTGTTTTTTTTTTGCAGGTGACACGAACCTCCTCTGAGAGCATCACTTCTGCTCCAGCCTCCAGCGCCTCAGGCTCCCCTAGCAGAGTTATCTATGTAAGAGCACATCTGGAATTAAACCCATAATGCATCACTCTTCATTTGCTCAAAATCACCACCAGTGGGCACCAACACACAAGGCTACAAATGACTGTTGCTCTTTCTTTAGGCAAAACTGGGTGATGAACTTCTGGATTATAAGGATCTGGCTGCTCTTCCTAAAATCAAAGCCATCTACAACATTGACAGGCCTGACATGCTTTCATACTCGCCCTATGTGAGCTATCCTGTGGAGGACAGGACTTTTGGAGAGGTACAAACACACATGGAAGTAACATATACTGTATATCCCCAGTATTTGATGTTGCTCATTTTATACATCTTTTTCTCTTTATAGGTGATTTATACTAAAATTATTGACTCGAGAAAGGGCTTTAGCATGTACTATTATGTTACAGCTGTGCCATTTTCAGTCTAATCATCTTTACTCATCATCCAGAATCATTCCATTTGGTTTCAGCAAAAAAAGCACATGCCAATTTTCCACTATTGTCTCAAATGGTTCTCTTTGCTTAACTGTTTAATTGGTCCAGTCAGCACAGATACAGTTTCATTTTTCAGGTTGTACTAATGTTGGACTGACACAGTTTCAGTATAGAATTTTTATGTTAAGCTGCTTTGACACAAACTATACTGTAAGAAATAAAGATGAGTTGAGTTAAATAATGCAATACAAATGAATCAGTCATTGCCTTGATAAAGTAAGTGTATTGTAAACAGCAATATTGAGAATTATTGTTTGTATGTATATATATATATATATATATATATATATATATATATATATATATATATATATATATATATATATATATATATATATATACATATCTTTTTTTTATTCTTTATCTGATATTTTCTTTTTCAAATAACAGCAATTGCAAGCAGCAATTAATTTGTATCAATTAGGAAGTCCCATGTATCAATTAGGAAGTCTCTGTGACTGCTTTAATCAACAATAAAAAATTGATTTTAGCCATTTACATTAAATTGCAATAGAAAACCAGTATTAGTTAAATTATTAATACAAAAAATACTTTTTATTAGTTATAGATCAGTATATAGACTGAAGCAAGCAAGCCTCACAAGTGTCGAGCGCACCATTACTTACAGCCAATCAAGCTGTTTGGTGTTGCGCTATGATTTCAGATCCCCTTTTTTCACTTTTTAACCCAGAGCCTACCTTAGATTGCTTTTATCGGATCACAAATTGTACAAAAGAAAAGTCAAATAAAAGTATGTACTGCTATCTTTATGATTGGGTGTGTAAGACAGATGTTTGGGTGGGCTCAGCCCACCCCTGCCCCTGCCTAGAATTGACATGATAGCACCACTTATAGGGAGATAGCAACTTTAGCAAGCTATTTGGAATGTGCATGTCAAATTTCATGAAGATCAGAGTATTCATTTATGGGTCATAAATGAACATTTGGTATATTTGGCAATGGCCGCTTTATAAATGACCCTTTAATAGGTGTATACTGTATTTGTACAACGCTGGATTCGTTGAGACTAGGCAAAAAACCTAGAACTAGTTTGCAAGAGTATTTTTTTCCAAAAAATGCAAAATAATAGAAATGTTTGCAAGGTTAGTGGCCTGATCTTACGCTTGCAGAACTTGAGCCAATGGATTCCAAAGAAATAAGGCACTTGAGACAGCAGTTTAGGATTTATGAGCGATTTTTATGTTTTGTGCCACTGTGCTTCCATCAGACCGATTGGAGCCAGCCTTGGTGACATGATAGACGAAAAGGGTATAACAGCACTATTTGTCTAAATTGTCTCTATGACTTACAGTTTTAAATCAGAAGAGTTTAAGAGCATAAAGGAGACCTTTGGACTTTTCTAAGAATTACTTGTAGAATAGTGTTTCAGTGCTACTCTTGAAGCCTTAATAAATATTTTAATATTCCAAATAGCCAGCTATGGAGAATGGCAGTTTGGCAACAGAATGTAGACATCACACGCACACGCTCTACTTGCACGGATTGGCATGGTTATCTAACTGTGCCTAGAAGATTGGGCTGAGAATGGTTTGTATATATGCCACACCATAGCAGGCTCAGGTGCAAATAAAATAGGAACCATAACTAACTCTTCTTAGAACCATTCGGCACTATAGTGGAAAAGCAGCTATTGTTTTACTAATTCATTAAAGCATTGAGTTTCAGTAAAGCTCATTTTTCATTAACATACCGATCACTGCATTTCAGTTCATCTTACTCATTTGCTTTCTTTGTTTACAGTCACCCCAGCAACTCACGCCTACTCCAACTGAGGTACAGTAGAGCTGACATGAAGGAACAGGTCGTGTTATTGTTTCAGTGGGTCTCGTTCACTAATCATGTCAGTCAAATGGTGTACTTGTGTGCACAGGAAAAGTCTTTTCTGATATTTATTTAATTTTATGCATTATTTAAGTTATTTTACTATACTTTTTGTTATTTATAGACTATAGGTGTACTACTGGGTGGTTTTTATAAGAGGGAAGTCCCTTTCTGAAATTGTAGGTGTACTGCAAGTTTCAATCTTTGGACCAATGTATTGCTTTATTGTTTTTAAGTTTGTTTTTAATCACAATAAACAAACTTGTTACATGATGGACCATATCTACTAATTAAAAACACATGCAAGATTAATGAACGAGACCTTGTTTTCCTCATAATTTGTGAATAGTTGTGGTTTAGTGAACTGCGCGGTATTGTGTGTTGTTTTTCTCCATGTTTCTCCATGTTTGAAACTCTGTGGTGTCAGACTCTCAATGATCAGCCTATTACAAGTTAGGACTGATTATTGTAAACTGGTTGCATCTGTGTTTCTTTTCCAGCTTTGTAGTCGCCTCCTATGTGTAGTCTCCACTGCCATAGTGATCACCCTTTTACTAGACTAAATGAAGATTTTGATTCTATTAAATATTCTCTGTTTGCTTGTAGGGAGATGGGGAAAAGTCTCCCCGTCAGAGGAGGCCCTCGAGCCCCAGCTCCAACAGCTCTTTAGGAGGCTATGGTCGCTATACGCCTTCCCGCTCACCACAGACCTACAGCAGACCAGGTATCCCTCCACATATGCAGTTATCTATAAGTATTTTAAATGATTTGAATGTAATGGAGCTGTAAACATTATCATTTTCCTCATACACTATTATTCATAATGTTGCACTATGTATATTTATCAGTTATATACCGTGTATTTTTATATATTTACACTACCATTCAAAAGTTCAGAAAGGTTTTACTGGTCAGTAAAAAAAAAATAAATAAATAAAATAAAATAATAATAATAATAGTAATTTAATTATGTAGGGTCACCGATCGAAATGTAACATCTTTTAAATGCAGTGTTTAGATTTGTGAAGATTCTTTGCTCAGAGATTTTGGAACAAGATTTACAGACTATGCAAAGCATATTTTGACAATTCTTGTGATCTCTTGGAGCAGCTTCTATAGCACTATAGCACTATAAGCAATAGCTCTACCATCAAACATCATGAATCCTGAATTGTTAGATTGAAAAAAATGTCTTATTCTCTGTCAGAGAACAATTATAGTAAACACTTCTATATGGATCCTATTTCAGGAGATGACAAATGATCCATACAGTTGTATCGGACGTAGGGAAGATTCATTTTAAACACATAGTTTAAATCTCCTGAGATTGTAGGTGTACCACAAAGTTCAGTCCTTGGACCAATCCTGCTTTGTTCTTTCTAGTTTATTTAAATATACAGCAGAATATAACAACACGACATAACAATAACATAATTTGGCATGAATAGATTAACTTGGTACTTGATGAATCATAGTTAGTAATCAAAAATACACTCAAGATTAATTACTGGGATCTTGTTTTTCTCACATTTTGTAAATAGGGGTTTAGTGGCTTGGGGCCGGTTGCACCAGAAGTGCGCAACTTAAAACGTAGCCTAGTTGTTACTTACATGGACTTAAAAGTAATGTCTTAAAAATCTAAATCTAAATTTTAGTCCTTAAAATTCTTAAATTTTCTGAAATATTGTGTTGTAGGTCTTAAATCTTTTTTAAACAGGTCTTAATTTTTCTTTGTTCATGTATTGCTACCCAATCTGGCAAAAATCCATACAATTACCAACAATCCATCTCAATGAAACTTTAAACTTTTTATTAAAATTTGTGTTTTAACTCTATTTACCATAATGGTTTAATTATTTTCCTAACTAAAACATTTGTTTAAAAGTGCTCCATGTATTTACTGCTGAGAACACCGACATGGACAGATTGTTGTGCATAGATTTAGTTTTTTATAGTTTTTTTTAAATACTTTTAAAACATTTGTTCATTTTTTTTAAAAAGAAAGTTTATGTTGGTGCATAGGTGTATAGATAAAAGTAGAGATTGCTTGTTGTTAAACAATATTTAAATCATTTAGCTAAAAAATATCTAAAATATTAACTTTTTTATAATTAAGATATTATTGTATTAGTAAATGTATGATATTCTAATATTTTTTGTTGATAGGGCAAATAAAAATATATTCCACCTGGGCCATTTGAAAAAAATCCTTAGTGTTTAACCCTTTATAAGTCTAAAATTTAATTCATATTGGTATTAAAATGTCTTAAGGTCTTAAATTGAACTTGGTGAAACCTGCAGAAACCCTGATTAATTGCAGGATTTTAAAGCAGTTTAATGATTTGAATGTTTTTTTTATTGGATATTACATCATTCAATGCGACTACACATGATTTTACAGAGAGATTACGACCTACTAACTACGGTTTGCCTCAAGCCTGGTTCATACTCGACGCGTCTGCTAGTTCGTTTGAGTGTGCACGGCGAATGTGATGTCATCGATGTGTTTTGTGGAGGATCGCTTTGGGTGCGCGCGACTTGATTTCGGCTGGCAGAGCACATGATTTTTTTTGAGATTCGAACGAACAGTTCACGCGGCGCCGCGTTTCTGTTGAGTTGAATATGAATCACAGCCATGACTGTACAGACATCTTTATGATCCGTGATTATAGGGATAACCAGATGATCAATCTTTGCTAGAAATTGCAACAGTAGGAAAGGAGGAAAGTTTTTTGTTAAAAAGTTTGGAAAAACCTGAGGGATAAGTTTGTTAAAGCCAAAAGAGGTCATGGCAAAAGTGAAGACCAGGGTACAATTACAGAAATAAGTTTTTCCACCTGTCATAGGTTTAATACTGATCTATATATTACAATTTTGAATTTAAAACAATTTGATAGTTACAAAACTAAAATTAAGGAACAAATTATTTTGATAACTGGAAAGGAATATTTGAACCTATCTGTTTACAATATACTGATGGCCTGTTTTTCTAGGCTTTATTTTTTTATGGAGCATCAGAATTTTTTAAGTAAGTGTACTTTTTTGCTTTTATTCTTGCCATAATAAAAATATATTTGTAGAGCAACCCATATTCTGTTGTCCTCAATATTTCAATAAACTTTAATGGGTAAAACTGTTAGAGATTTAAACAAAAGCAAGTGATGCATCAAAGTTTGATTTAAAAACATCTTAAATGGTTATAAAAATCCTTATAATCATTAAAATAATTTATAAAAATAATATAAATAATTAGTTTAAAAATCTTGAACAATATTAATGAAATTAAGTAGTTCTGGAAACTGACAATACGGTCAGTTTTTTTTTACTGCCCCCTGTCGTTTTAAATAATATCACAACTGCGAACGTGTCAAGTATAAAAGCCTCGAGGTGCGTGCACAGTCAGCAGAGGTGTGCAATGCAGTGCCAGGCGAAAGTATAAGTATGTGGTGCAACCAAAGTAAAAACAACTTTAGTCATAAACTAGCTAGTAGTAACTCAGCCACTAGTGTGGACTTAACATTCCAGTTTAAGAAAGAACTTACGAACAGCTGGTGTAACCCTGCCTGCGCATTATTATATGTTACAGTATATATTGACAGTAAAATTAATAACTGTAAAAAAACTAAAACTTACAATGTGATTTTTGAATTTCAAGTCTCAAAATAATTTTTTTAAAAGCTTGTGAGACACTGAACTGGAGTAGTGTCTGCTGAAACTGGTTTTTATTTTATGAACATTGGTTTTCATGCGTTTTCTTTTTAAAAGTAAAATCTCAGCCACCCTAAACATTTGAATGGTAGTGTATGTTTATTAAAGCAGAACACAAACTCATATTGTGCTGCATACTAATAAGAATCGTTATGAAACATTCCAAATCATTTATTCAGTCTGAAAAGCAACAGAGTTAAAGCATTAAAACTGATTTGATGCAGAAATTTAGAAACAAAGACATTCACAAATCATTTAGTTCTTAGTATAGTTGCTGATGTTATATTACTTCTATTCTTCCCTGGACCAACTGGGCCTCTTGCTTAGACCAGTATCTGAGCATCAAATACACCACCCAGCCAGAAAATTCCCACTTGCTCTCTGTACCAACCTCGGGGAGGAGTAGTGCCCATGGTAGTGCCAGAGGCTCCTCCCCGCTGCCTCTGTACAACAGCAGTGGTAGAAACACACCCCAGGCAGCCCTGCCCCTCAACCCCACTACTCTGGCTTTACTCCAGCAGCACAACTACATCCCTTACTTCAGAGGTACCACAGCTTTGCCTGCAGGCCTTTGCCAGTACCAATTTATCACAAACTGCACTTAACTGTGTGCTTGGATTTGATTGGTACAAGATTTACCCCTGCCGGGCAATATTAATAATGAACGAGTGCAAAAGTGAAAAAGCTGTATAAGAATTTGAGTAACACTAATGTGCATGAAGTTCCTGCCGTTGGTATTAAATTGCAACACAAATGAAGCATGGATCAAGCCTAATAATTCAGAGTTTAATAACTGTTTGCATTCAGTCTGAAGGACTAGTGAATTGCAGACATGAAATTACTACCCTATCCTTCATCCACCTTTCCTAAACAGGAATTGAGACAGGATTCAGACAGGAAGCAAAGTCTGAAAGTAGGCCTAGGACAGCCCTGCACCTCAATTTGCCTTCTCACGGTAAACCCTAAAAACCAGATTCTCTTTCACTGTGTATCACCGGTCTATTACAGTGATGTGAGGTTGTAGGTGTGCCACAAGGTTCAGTCCTTGGACCAATCCATTGATATGCTTGCTGGTATTGTCTATATGAAGTTTGTATGTCCAATGCATGGAGAATCAGTGGATATATTCATTAAATTTTAGCTGAAACTGTAATTTTATGCCCATGTTACATGTAAACGTTGGTGGTGAGCATCAGTATGCATTTATTTGTTGTACTGTAGTTGATGTTGTGTTTTGTTTGGTAAGGTGATTTTATTTACCATACGTTTAATATTTAAAGTAACTGTATGTTTGTGTTAGTGTTACCATTTACTTTGTGGTTCTCGTTTCTCAGTTTTTAGCATTTATTCAAGTGTTTTATTTAACCTAACATATATATTCAGGCAGGCAGGAGTTCAAAGGTCTGAGACCATTAATCAAAATGTAGTGAAGTATATTGTGTGTATAGTACATTCTATATTTTACATGTTGATATACAGTTAGGTCCATAAATATTTGGACATCGACACAATTCTAACATTTTTGGCTTTATATAATTGCAGAGTGTCATCTTTAGGTTAAGGGTGTTTACATCCAAATCAGGTGAATGGTGTGGGAATTACACAAGTTTGCATATGTGCCTCCCACTTGTAAAGGGTCCAAAAGTACAGAATAATAGTTATAAATCAAGCTTTAACTTTTTATTTCTTGGTTGCCAATCCTTTGCAGTCAATTACAGCCTGAAGTCTGTAACTCATTTCATTTCAAATCCATTGTGTTGGTGTATAGAGCCAAAAATGTTAGGCTTGTGTCGATATCCAAATATTTAGGGACCTATATCTGGAACTGGACCTGGAACTCTATCTATATTCTACTGGAGAACAAGTAGTAACTCTTTATATTTACTGCTTATAAATCAGGATACAGATTTAGGTTTTGTGGTTTCTCTGCAAGAAATTGAGAGAACGGGAACTCAGTAAAGTTCGCAGGAGAAGATTAAAGGGGTAAATAGTTGAGCTGTAATTTCGGGTTGGTTTGCCAGGCACAGTGGCATAAACTAGGGCCTTGTGCAGTTCCAGGCAACCCTTTAATGCAGCATGAAAGTACATTGAGGTTGTGTTTGGAGTGTGCCGTTTATGATTCAGTTAGCTGTCTAATTGACTTTTCATGGTGAAGGAGCCACAAAAGAAAAAATCAGCTCTACGTTACAAATGCAAAACCTTGATCTTGCCTTGATCTTCCCATATCACCATCTGAGGCTAAATGAAGATTGAAGACAGAAAATACATGGTGCATTACACCCAGCGGATTCAAAAGGGATGCACAATCCATAAAATAGTATTTTATTGAGTTATGGGGAGCATTGAGACCTTCATTCTCCATGGTGTGCTCCATCGTTGTGATTTGTGATGTTTGGTGTATTTTATGACAATGTCCTGCTCCCCCAGCTCTAGATGAGTAAAAGAATTTTCCTTGATACTGGGGGAAATTTTACTAACAGCACTGAGTGTTTAATGTGTGTTAAATGGTGTGTGCATGTGTCTGAAGGACAGCTGCAAGTGTGTGTGACGGAAAGAAAAGAAAAAGGAGACAGAGAACGAAAATGAGAGAATTAGATGTGTTTTTTATTTTTTACCATTATTAGGACCTGATTTACTAAAAAGTGCAAATTAGTGCAAATTCACAATATTTAGCTGACTATATTTCCCAGTGATGGGTTGCGGCTGGAAGGGCATCCACATGCTATATAAGTTGGCGGTTCATTCCGCTGTGGCAATCCCAGATTGATAAAGGGACTAAGCCGAAAAGAAAATGAATGAATGAATGAATGAATAGCTGACCATAATTCACAATCTTAAGCTGATTTAGCTGATATGTATTTATGTTGGTACAGTACATTTACTGGTTTACTGTATATCTGTCATACAATAAAGGCCTTAAAATACTAGGCCATTGGAATTCGTCAGGCTGCCGTTCAGTGTCAGTTTGGCTAGTTGGTTTTATGTGTTCCACACATCACCTCTTGTCAGGTTAACGCCACATGAAGTTGGCCTGATTCATCATTGGCTGTCGGCTGAAAAGAGTTCTGATTGGCTATTTAGCAATGATTCATTGTGCAAGAACAAACAATTTTAAACAATGTAACCAAGAAAACATTTTAAGTCAAGAGGAAACACAGAGGAGCTAGCTGTAATTTCACTACATTTTTTAAATATTTGCAAATAATATGGATTATTAGCTTATCAGACATATTTGCATGATCAAATCCCTCTGTGGTGAGTGACAATTACTGTGAAAATGGTAAGCCTACTAAATGCTGTTTTTTTATGCATTTTCTGTGTACATATTCTCTTCCAGTTTCCCTGAGAATGAGAAAACACACATTTCAGTCATTTCAGTCTTCTGCCGTCTGTTTGGTGTTTTCACAGGCAGCTTTTTGGGCCAGACTGGACCAACCGCAAGTCGATAACACAGTTGGTTTTTGTTTGTGCTAGTTATTCGGTGTTGGCTTGATATGTCCCGGCCCTAAGACCATCAGTAGGTATCGTTGTTCTAGAGGGAATATTTAACCAAAGTTTGAAATAATACAAACTTAGGCCATCAAATACATACAGTAGGTGCCTTTTTGCTTTTAGTATTGCATTGAAGTAAATAAAACTGTGGTTCTTGATGATTTAAACAAGCGAGTAACTTCGGTTTGAGAAGTTTGACACATAAGTGGAAGTCTTTTATCTTTTTTTTTTTTTTTAAATAGATTAATTGTTTTCATTTTTAACTTTTCAGTTCCATCAAAATGTTTCAAAAGTAACCCAGCTATACTAAATGTATTTATGATTTATTTAGATTGTTTTATTATTATCGAAAGTATGCATTCATTTTTATAAAATATCCAAGTGGAAACACCAAACTCATATGTGGAAGTGAAAAATAAGGTATGGCTATTAGCTGAGGGACAAAAGTGCCAGAGTTACTTTTGTCCAACAGGAACTCTTGCCATTTAAACCTATTTACTTTCAAACTAAAAAAACTAGAGCAGTGTTAGAGCAGTAAATAACCTGTAGATTGATCCTTACTTTGACACATAAAAAGAAAAACACAACTTGTAATTAGAAGGGAAAAAGTACTGCCACAGTGATTTACTTTCTGCACAAATTGTTATCTGGACCTAACCACAGAAGACAGAGATGAAATCACATGATATTTGGCAGCTCTGTCAAGGGTTGCATTCCAAATGTGCTGTTATGCAGTAGCTCGCAAATGTTGAAAAGCAAATGTTGTCAGGGCTTCTTTACTTTCATTAGGTTGCTTTCATTCCTGCTTTCCCCTGCCCATACTGTATCTCCTAATGATAGGTTGAAGTCTCATCAGGTCAAAGGAGGGTTTGTGCTGGCACAAACTGTTAGCATATCTGGTCCTTAGCGTGTAGCTGAAAAACAGATTCTCTCTCTCCTTTAATCTCAGTTTGGTGAAAGAGTATGATTTAAATGCTGTTTTATTTCATGTGAAGATTATGATGATAGCAATGTCACAATTCAGCCTGCCAGACATTTATATCAATTCATATTGACTAAAAAACCAAAGCACTGGACACTTGAGTGTCTGCTGTAATATAAATGCAGCATTTTTTGATTTGATTATATTAGATTCAGTTATTCAAACACAAATACATTTCATCATAATTAACAAAACATCTTCAAATCTGTGTAAAGTCAAAAATTACAATTGAATTTGAACCAGTTCGCAATGGAGCGGGATTAAGCACAAGTTTATTCAATTATATTCACAGTCTTAAGATTAAAATTTTCACATTGCAAAGACAGATTTGTCATACTATGAGCTGGCTGTATTGTGAGGTTTGATAGTACATTTAAGACTCAATACAATGTCAGATATAAGACATCTTTTTTTTGTTCTCTTTTCCTTTCTTCTCCACGTCTGGCATGACCTTTATCCCCCGAGGTAGTGAAAGTGGGCGCAGTACCCCCAGTCTCTCCACCTACTCTGATGGCAAATCTCCATCGTCTACATATGTGGCAGCCCCACGGCATTTCCATATCCCAGGTAAGCCCTAAAACTCTTCTGGTAAATCAGCAGGTTTTGTCTCCCTTTCTGTGCAGTTTATGAAAGAAATCTGGCAGACTGAATCATCTGTATTCATATTGTACTTTCATTTTGTTCTGTGATCTTTCTCTAAAGATCCTAATCATCAATTTTATACATTTCTAATTCATTAGTGTGCAAAAATACCTATTTTTAGTACAAGAAACAAACCTGTTACTATCACTGCACATGTTTAAAATAAACCCAATAATTAGTTTCATGTGTTTTCTGCCCATTTTTTGTAATGACGTCTTGTTTCCAACTCTGGCACAGGCTGAAACGGCTCTTAAATGTCTCACATGTGTTACATTAAATGACTGATTTTCTTCTTGAAGTAATGGTTGCGAAGCAGACGTGAGGTTGGGATGACCTAAACAAGCCGCAGAGAGACACATGCTGTCAATTATTAAGACATTATGTCATTGTAGTTACACCATTTATCTCCCTGTTTTCCTCTTAGATCATTTTAGGTGACATTTCTGTCTTCCGAGATGAAAATAAGAGAGAGATTTCATTATTTATGTGACTCCGACTTCATATTTCAACCCCGTTTTTCATTGTTGAGGATCTCGTACAAAACAAAGCTTGATAATTGCATGAACATTACATGATGATGGATGGTTATGAAATGAATTACGATATCTGGAATCTTCATATAGGTCATTTGCTGCCTTTTCCTTTTGCCCCGACTCCATCCTCTATTAACTCATGCTTCTTTATTCATCTTCTTTCTTATGCTCTTGCTCTCTTTGTCTTTCATTCACAGAGACTAAAGTCAAAGATAATATCTATAGAAAGCCCCCTATCTACAAACAGCATGGTACAGTTCAGTCTCCGTACAGCCATGTTTCTTTGCATGCCGTTATGCATGGGACTGTAACCTTTGACCCTCCTTTCTGTCTGCTGGTTTCCATTTCAGCTTCAAAAAAGTAGGTCTTGTAGGTTTTGCAAATCCTTGAAAAGGGTTGGAATTAACCAGGTACTTCTCACACAGTCAATGGCTAATTGTTGGTTGTACATCTGCGAACATCTTGACCACCTTCAGCGGGTCATATTTCATGCATATTTGTCAGGTTTATTTTAAAGAGTGTTCTTGTTAGCCCCGGACAATTATTAATGGTGCTTTATGAGCCTATTAACTGCATATAATTGTTTTGTATGCATTTGATGTTACACATATCGTACACTGTCATTCAAAAGTTTGTGGAGGGTAAGATTTTTTTAAGTCTCGTATGCTTGCCAATTCTGCATTTTTTTTAATTTAACATTAAAATTTGTCACAAATTATATATATAAAAAAAAAAGATTGAGTAAAGAGTTTAGTTTTAATGTACTTTAACTATTAACCTATATACATTTCTGGAGATCACGAATTATGTAGCCAGAAGTACGTATGGCTGTATTTTGTCTTTAAAACGAACACTACATTTTATTTATATTGTAGTAAAGCTGAATTTTCAGCATTATTACAGCAGTTTTTGCAGATGTTTTGGTAAATATTTTAAACGTCTTTACTGTCAGTTTTATTCAATTTGATGTTACACCATACTAATAATAATTAAAACGTTTATTTATTTATTCAAAAATATTTTTGAAAATGTCTTATTGCCAAATAATTTATTTGATTAAAAATAAAATAAGAATTGTAATGAGAAGTATTGCATTGTAAAATAGCTGTATTCTGTTTCTTTCTACATATTCTAAATATATATTCTATACACTTGAAGTCAGAATTATTAGCCCCCCTTTGATTTTTGTTTTTAAATATTTCTCAAACAATGTTTAACAAAGCAAGGAAATTTTCACAGTATGTCTGATAATATTTTTTTCTTCTGGAAAAAGTCTTATTTGTTTATTTTGGCTAGAATAAAAGCAGTTTTTATTTTTTTTAAAAATCATTTTAGGCTCAACATTATTTGCCCCTTTAAGCTATATTTTTTTTCTGATAGTCTACAGAAAAAAACATCACTTTACAATAACTTTCCTAATTACCCTAACCTGCCTAGTTAACCTTATTAACCTAGTTAAGCCTTTAAATGTCACTTTAAGCTGTATAGAAGTGTCTTGAAAAATGTCTAGTCAAATATTATGGTCACACTTTACAATAAGGTTCATTAGTTAATGTTAATTAATGCATTTACAAACATGAACAAACAATGAACAATACATTTACTACTGTATTTGTTCATGTTAGTAAACGTTAGTTAATGAAAATACAGTAGTTCATTGTTAGTTCATGTTAACTCATGGTGCATTAACTAATGTTAAAAAGCATGAACTTGGATGTTAATAATGCATGAGTAAATGTTAAATTATGATTAATAAATGCTGTACATGTGTTGTTTATGATTAGTTCAATCTTCTCTCTGTTAAGCAGAAATTGGGGAAAAATAAATGAATAAATAAAAAAAATAAAAATAAATAAATAAAATATATACATACATATATATATGTATGTATGTATGTATGTATATATATATATATATATATATATAATGAAAATCTACTTACCCCAAGCTCTTGAATGGTACATTTGTGTACGTTTAATGTAAATAATGCCTTTGATACAATGTTTTCATCAACAAGATTTACGTGTCTTTTGCAGTTTTTAATATTGGTTAATCCAGACATGGAAACAGCATTCAGAGATGATTTTTTTTTTTTTTTGTGCGTCCATCCATACATATAATCATCTGTCAGTTACAGTATAGTTTATCATGTGTCTTGTGATTTAAATGTCAGACAATGTTGGGTGTCTATGTCACTCATCGGTTTGGTGAAATGTCAAAGGCATTTGTGTAACCCATTGTGATTGGTTTAAAGACATCTATAACACTAACTGTGATTGGGTGGTTGTGAAATTAATCACTGGATTTGTTGTTTCTTTTGGCCTTTTTTTCTCCTGAACTTCACCCTGATTCAACATTGTGTTTGGTTGATCACTTGCTTGTGGATTCTGTACACATTTTTATTCTTGTAGCAAACACTGTGAACTCTGTCAATCAGACTACTTATACTCTATATGATTTTTTTGATTGCGACAGTATATTATTTTATAGTTTGTGTGGTACCTTGCATGGTGTAACTGGTAACCTACTCTCAGACAGTGAAACTAGGATGTATTTTAATGTTTTTATTGTGCTGCAGCTTCCAGAACCTCCTGGCAAGATGGTGATGATGTAGACAGAAAGGTGATTTGTATATCTGTATAAACATCCATGTGTGTATTTAGTAGCTACTGAGCAGATTTGATTGATTGAAGTGAATAAGACTGTAAGTCTCGAGTCAATAATTTTCAGATGGATGCGCGGTCAATATTCCTTCTATTATTATTGGTATTAATGACCAGGCAGCGATTGGAACCATATTGGCTCTAGATTTCTGGTCTCATTCACCTCCATTGATTTTTAGCTGTACAAAATAGCTTGTTATACTGCTTGGTGTTGCAAACTAGCATTTTCTTATTATAATATTTACCTGTTATTAGTCATAAACACATGTTTGTAGAGCAAGTAGTTTGACCGTTTTTTGAGAATAAGTTTACTACAAATCAAATAAACTTTTACAAATACATTTTCACAATAAATCAAAGTCAAATTATCAAATTAAAGTTGCATTTTTTTTTATTAGAAGTGTATTAAATTAGTATGAAATAGCTAATTCGTTTTTAGCTTATGCTCATTTTAGCAATTAGCTTGATCCACTTGCATCTGTAGGCTACAGTATATATAATTTTATGTTTACTTCTGTTACCTTTAAAATGTAATTACTTTTTGTTTATGATCGTTTAATCAAAATGTAATTGTAATTATAATATGATTACAATTTATTTTAAACTGAACTATACTTAAATTAATTTCTCTTGAAACTTTTGAACTTACCAATTATTACCAAATATCACATTACAATTGAGACTACAATCAACTACAATCAAGTTTCCATGTGTTTTAGTGTATTAGTCAGAACTAAAAAAAATCTTTGTGCATATAAAACATAATTATAATATTATACAAATTATATATTTTTCTACAATTTGATGATATATGTAGCCTTATATTATTTCTGTTTGTAATTAAATAAATAAATAAATATATATATATATATATATATATATTAGGGCTGTAACGATACACCAAACCCACGATTCGGTTAGTAACACGATTTTTGACCCACGATTCGGTTCGTATCACAATTTTTTTTTTTTTTTTTTGTGTGGGGTGGGAAAAAAAAGATTTTTAAAACTGTTTTTTATTAAATAACATTTGAAAAATCTTTAGAAACTAAACATTAAAGAACAATATTAACTATGCAAATTATTAACAATATAAAAAGCCATATATAAAATAAATAAATAGCCAAAGCTATCACTTCTGTTTTCTTTGTAACAAAATACTGTTGAAAAACCAAACAGAACTAAACTCCATTGTGTAGATGGTTCAAGCATGTTGAAAATTATTTTTCAATCAAGTTCTCTTACATAGAAAAAGTAAATTAAATAGCTACTAGGGATGCTCATTTCGGTTAATTTTGCTAACCGACAACCGCCGCTCATTAATCGGTTATTACCGGTTAACTGGTCAGATTACTATTAATTTTATATTAAACAAATTGACGTGTCTATTTTGTGTCTGACACATTAAATATTGCATTTTAAAATACTGATTTATTTTTATATGTTAGAATATTAATAGCGGAACAGAACAACAGAGCATCTTCATGCACCTGCAGTGTTTAGCACAGAAGAGCAGAATAATCTAAATAAAATGAATAAAATAAATAGGACTGCCTTAAATTATTTCTATTTAAATAATTAATTTATATTACAAAACGAAAATACTGACTGATTCTTTTTAATAACCGGCATAGGTTTTTTTTCCAATTATATGTTTTTTTCTTCCGTCAAATAAAAATAGCTGACTTCCTCAAATTGCTGGCTTCACGGAAAATATGCATTTATTTAATGCCCCACTGTTATTATTATAATCACAAAACCTTTTACATTTTAATAGAAATCCTTATTTTAAAGATTATGTCCTGATATAGCCTATGGTTTCCTCTCTCTCCCTCGCGGTTCAAGTGCACGCGCTGCGTGATGAAAAGACAGCAACAATGCGCTCATATGTTGACTTTTTGTAAACAGTTTTGTTGTTTAAATATGATATTGCATTAATCTGCGTACATGCTTTATAAGCTGTAAAATAAAAAGTAAAGCCTAATTGTTGCGTTTATTACGCAGATCCAGGTCAACATAAGCGCTGCAGCATTAACACGTCTGTATCAAACAGCAATATTCTTCTTCCATGTTGCTTCTTTGGCAAATGTGTCTGTAGGCACGGGTTACACGTTATGGTCCCGCAAATTAAGTATGCCTTGCAGTTAAACAAGGGGCGAAAACGAGGCGCACCTCACTGCCTTTATGTTGACAAGGAAAAAAGAAGAGGCACGGTCCTCTCATGAAACGACTGAATCAGCTGGGTATCGATTGTGCAAAAGTGCTGCTGTCTGTGTTGTTACAATAGTAATATTTAATACTAATGTGATATTCAAGATTTGTATATTCATACAGCTCTGGATAACTTAAAACAATGATTAGACCTTCAGAGCGGCGTTAATGCGTCCTGAAGTAAAGCGAAACGGCTATAAACTCCAGCAAGATAGAGTGATTGTATGCAGAACCATATACCTTTATCTCTAAATAAAGTATAACTATAGAAACTGTGTTCATCTTAACTGAAAGCTTCGTCATGTTTTCTGACCTCACGCATCGCGCACCTGTCAGTCAGCACTCTCAAAGGTTCAAACAGAAAGCGCACAGCACGGTTACAGAAAAGTTTGCGCTGTTACCTGACATCTGGTGAACGCCCATCCCTCTCTGCGCAGCCACATTAACAGTGTGAGCAAATCATCGTGTATGTGCTGAAAATCCAGCCGCTTTGACAGCATTGGCAATGTTTCTGGCGTTGTCGGTTGTCAAGCGGGGTTAAGTTGGTTTTGTTTTTGATATTCCTGACACATTCAGACGGTCCCTTACTAAGAGCTCCGTGCGAGCTCTTCCGGCTAAATATTGCGAGGGCTTAAACGGAGCAGTGCTTGTAATGTCGAACGAAAAAAAGTGTTAATTAGCTCAACTTTTGCAGGCACGCGTGACGTTATTGGAAAGCTAGTCACGGGGTGTGTCGCGATTCTCTCTTATCACACCGATTTCGATTTTATATCGTGTATCGTTACAGCCCTAATACATATATATATATATATATATATATATATAAACTTGAAATAAACTATAAGACAATTCACTTATAACTGGAGATTTAATCAAACCTTATGGACATTATCCAAAGCTTTATAATAATACAATTGTAGTAATAATTTATGTTTTAACTACAAATTCAATAGTTAATTAGTCAATAGTTAGCATTTCTTTGTTAAAACCATGGTTAATAACCATAAAGTTATATGTTTTCCATTCTATATTTCAAACTTATTATTTGGTATGTGTCTATATTTGTCAATAGACCAGGACCAGTTGGATGAACCTGAAGACTGAGATTGATGGACAGTCTCCAGAGCTAGACCCCAGGACCTCCACACACAGCCTGCCCACTGATATGTCTCAACCCAGTGAGTAGGGGATCTAAAAATCTTTTAAACACAAACATAACGCCATGTCAGGTCACTCAGCAGCCATTTTGGTATTATCTTTGATCAGCTTGTTCTATGATGGTAAATTAAATATTTATTTTTTTCTGTGTTTGCCATGAAGACAGTCCATAAAGTATAATTATATAGTTATTTTGCAAGATATTCAACTTCATGGCTTAATCAGGTTAATTAGGTTAATTAGGAAAGTTAATTATAAAAATTATAAATTAATTCATTTAGTAGTCATTGGACAACAGTGGTTTTTTTTGTAGCCATAAAATATGTATTCTAAAGAGGGGTAAGAACATTGACTTTAGGCGTTTTAACATTTTTATGTATGTATGTATGTATTTATTTATTTATTTATTTATTGTAATTATAACTTAATTCAATAATAAAAAAATTATTAATTAATTAATGTAATTTATTTATTAATTACTAATTGTATTTATTTATTTATTTATTGTAATTAATAATATAATTTAATTTAATTTATTTTATATATATATATATATATATATATATATATATATATATATTATTGTAATTAATGAATTACTTATTTTTTATTGCAATTAATAATCAAATTTAATTATTATTAAATGAATTATTATTAAAATTAAAAAATGATTTTATTTATTGATTTATTTTAACATATTTATTAGCCTTATAATTTCTTGTGTTTCATTGTCAGTGTGTTGCAAGAGTAAAGTGCCTTAAATCATCCAACTCTGCTTTACAGACTTTCCATATAATAAGTCTGCTTCCCTGCCAGGATATGGGCGGAACGGCATATACAAGGTAAACTTCCTAAGGCTTGCATACAAACACAGCCCCCCACAAACCTTTTAATGCTCCATCTGTCAGTGATTTTTGGGAATGTATGTGAGCTGTGGTCACAAATGCTGTCATTGACGCTCTCAGCGATGAAGAATGCTGTTTTATCCTAGTTGCATTTGTCAATCCCAGCTGCTGGGACACGAAGGACTGTTGTATTTGCACACATCATGGACACAGATCAGTTGGTGTGGAGATTCAGCTGAAGAAACCGTAATATTCAGAGTGTTTGTCTGTGCTGATTTGCAGTTAAAATGTATCTTATTCACTCCCTCTGGCTGTTTGTTTTCCATGTTGTACTTTGAACTGGAAACCTGGCTCTCTTAATGGATGATCCTCAGTGTTGAAGAGAAAGATGTGCTTTGACAGCAGAGAAGCCAGAAACAGTGTTTATTAGTAATCTGCTCTAGATCTACATTCACGCATGCACTTTTTGTTTGGGAGTGAGCTGAAAGCTTCTCCTGTACACTAGGTGGCGGTGTTTTGTAACAATTCTTTGTATTTCCAGAACAATGGATCTTTTTACACAAGACTGTGATGATAAGGGTCATCAGCATCTTTAGTCCTCAGAAGTTTTTACAAAAAAAACTAGTGGATGAAGAATACAAATATAAGAAAAAAAGTATAATAGAAATTATATGTATGAAGGCCTCCTTTTCTATATTACTTGATAAAGTACTTGATATTTACTTGATATGTACTTATCATGAATAATATTTACTTTTTTCTCTCTATCATTAGTGAATTAATTCATAATGAATTAAAAATTACTTGAGTTGACTTTGTCTTGGATATATCATTGTCAGTATTGTTTAGATATTTGATTGAGTCATGTGACCATAGTGTTCAAATTAACTCCAGACGCACCAGGTGCTGTTTTATAGAATAGCCATGTTAATAAAGGCTTTTTAATCTTTTCACGTGCCGTGGACTTATAATTTAGTATTCTACTTGATATTTTATTTACTTAAGTAGTAAAAGTAATTATTTAATTAATTTCTTAAGAAAATTTAATTATTAAAACTCAGATTCGGACAACCATGTTGATAACTTATGAAAATTCATGAAAACACGCTGATGATACCATTCATTCATTCATTCATTTTCTTGTCGGCTTAGTCCCTTTATTAATCCGGGGTGATTGAACCTCCAACCTATCGAGCAAATTTTTACGCAGCGGATGCCCTTCCAGCCGCAACCCACCTCTGGGAAACATCCACACACACTCATACACTACGGACAATTTAGCCTACCCAATTCACCTGTACTGCATGTCTTTGGACTGTGGGGGAAACCGGAGCACCCGGAGGAAACCCTCTAACGCAGGGAGAACATGCAAACTCCACACAGAAACGCCAACTGAGCCGAGGCTCGAACCAGCGACTTTCTTGCTGTGAGGCGACACACTACCTACTGCGCATTTGCTTCGCCTGATGATACCATTCAGATTGTAAAATCAGTTAATTATTTATCGATGACTATTGATTTACTGGAGTTTTAACTCTGGCTGGATCATTTGAATCAGTGAGTTGTTTACTGGACACTCACTCTGAACGGATTATTTGAAACAGTGAGTTGTTTACTGGAGAATCACTCTGATTAAATCTTTTGAATCAGTGAGTTGTTTACTGGACACTCACTCTGAACGGATCAGTTGAATCAGTGAGTTGTTTACTGGAGACTCTCTGATTAAATCTTTTGAATCAGTGAGTTGTTTACTGGACACTCACTCTGAACGGATCAGTTGAATCAGTGAGTTGTTTACTGGAGACTCTCTGATTAAATCTTTTGAATCTGTGAATTGTTTACTGGAGACTCACTCTGAACGGATCATTTCAATCCGGGGTCACCACAGTAGAATGAACCGCCAACTTATCCAGCATATGTTTTATGCAGCGGATGCAGTTTCCAGCTGCAACTAATCTCTGGGAAAGAGATTCACACTCATTCACACTTATACACTACAGACAATTTAGCCTACCCAAGTCACCTGAACCGAATGTCTTTGGACTGTGGGCGAAACCCGAGCACCCGGAGGAAACCCACGCGATAGCAGGGAGAACATGCAAACTCTACACAAAAACGGCAACTGACCCAGCCAAGGCTCGAACCAGCGACCTTCTTGCTGTGAGACGACAGCAATACCTACTGTGCCACTGCGTTGCACAATATTTTATTGCTTAATAAATTTTGTATGTGATTTTATGTTAATTTAGAATAAACTATGGAATGTTCTCAGTAACATTTGTTAAGGAAATATTGGCCGTATATTTGCTGTTTGCATATATTTCAATTAATATGGAAAGCCAGTGCATGTTTTTACCTAAACTAATATTAGATTTTTATTAAATGCGTGTGCGTGTAAAACAATATAATTTCCACAAAAAAATGATGGGTTTCTTTTTTAAAGAAGTTGTTACCACCCCATTTAGAGCATCATTATGGCCGTTTTACTTTATAACTAACATGGTTCAAACAATGGATTTACAACAGAGAAACTATGGGTTTTGTAAAACACTGGTCTCTACATCGTTCTTTTCCCAATGATGCATCATACTATGGTAGTTCAGCCGCAAGTTACGTCATTGTTTAGGAAACGCACCCCTGAATGGATCATTTGTATCAGTCAGTTGTAAACTGGAGACTCACTCTGAATGGATCAATTGAATCTGTGAGTTGTTTACTGAAGACTCACTGTGAACGGATCATTTGAATCCGTGAGTTGTTTACTGGAGACTCACTCTGAACAGATAGTTTGAATGAGTAAGTTGTTTACTGGAGACTCACTGTGAACAAATCATTTGAATCAGTGAGTTGTTTACTCGAGACTCACTCTGAACAGATCTTTTGAATCAGTGAGTTGTTTACTGGAGATTCACTCTGAAAGGATCATTTGAATCAGTGAGTTGTTTACTGGAGACTCACTCTGAACAGGTCATTTGAATCAGTGAGTTGTTTACTGGAGACTCACTCTGAAATGATCATTTGAATCAGTGAGTTGTTTACTGGGAGCAGCACTGTTGCCTCACAGCAAGAAGGTTGCTGGTTCAATTGGCTGGACCAGTTGTCATTTTTATGTGGAGTTTGCATGTTCTCCCTGTGTTCGCGTGGGTTTCCTCTAATGCTAGAGGAATAAACTAAAGTGTGTGTAAGTGTAAATTAAATCAATTAAAATAAAGTCTAGATACTTAACATATGTACTTAAGTACTGTACAGTAGTGAAGTAAAAGAACTTAGTCACTGTCCACCACTAAAAACACACCTTATGTACATTTATAAAGCCATACTTTGTATTACATCAACTTTAAAAAATAAAATAAAATAGTTAATGCTTATGCCAGGTGTTTATGCAGCATCTATGAGTGGGACAGTAAATTTGATGTTATTTATTTCCATGTTTTTGAAAGTCATGAAGCACTATTGTGCAGTTTCGATATTGATATTTGTGGTACTCTCCTATTCACTGCCCTCTAAGTTTACCCAATTATGACGACTTCTGCTGCTGAGAAACATGGACACGTGAAAAGAAGCCATGAACAGCTTAAAAACACAAATAGTACCCATTCTTTATGTCTAATATGGTTTGACTTAGTTGCATATTTCAACTTTTTAGAAAGGCATGTGAAACCGAAAGCTGGCCATAGGTCAATATTTATAACTATATATACAGGAAAGCTTCAGCCCTAAGGATTCAATCCTCTGTCTGTGCTAGACTTTAACCTTTCACCTCAGGAAATGAAAGGAAAACTTTCACAGTTTCACAGCAGCCGATCTGTTCAAACGTTATATTGTTAGTCTTAACTGATTGTAGCAGAAGGTATGGTGAAATAAATGTTTACTGTGACCTTCTTAAAACCACATATTGGTCTTTTGAAACATAAATGCACCCTGTTTGTTTTCAGTTCCTAAAGATTTGTCATAATTGTCAATTTTTGAAGAATTGAGATCAAATACATCATATGAAAGCTGAATAAATAAGCACTCTATTGATGTCAATTACAATAGAAACTAAATTTGGCTTATAGATACAACTAGTTGAAAATCCTAAATTCAAGGGTTCAACAAAGTGAAAATACAGAAAAAAATGGCTTTAAAATGTTCAAATTAGGCAAGGCAAGGCAAGTTTATTTATATAGCACATTTCATACACAGTGGCAATTCAAAGTGCTTTACATAAACAAGAATAAAAGTAAAATAAAAATAAAAACAAATAATAAAAATGCGTAAAAATAAAACAAAACATAAAAACAGGTAAAATGTGATATAAAAGAATGAAGAAGAAGAGAAAAACATGATAGTGCAATTTGTCGGACGCAGCACAGTGCTCATTCAGTAAAGGCACAGCTAAACAGATGTGTTTTCAGTCTTGATTTGAATGTGCCTAACGTTGGAGCACATCTGATCATTTCTGGAAGCTGATTCCAGCAGCGGGGGGCATAGTGGCTGAAAGCTGATTCACCCTGCTTTGACTGAACTCTTGGAACTTCTAGTTTATATGATCCTAAAGATCTGAGTGATCTGTTAGGTTTGTATTCAGTGAGCATATCTGTGATGTATTTAGGTCCTAGGCCATTTAGTGATTTATAGACCAGTAATAATACTTTAAAATCTATTCTGAATGTAACTGGCAGCCAGTGTAAAGACCTGAGGACAGGTGTGATGTGCTCTGATTTTCTGGTTCTGGTTAGAATTCTGGCTGCAGCATTCTGGATGAGCTGTAACTGTCTGACTGTCTTTTTAGGAAGACCAGTGAGGAGTCCATTACAGTAATCCACCCTGCTGCTGATAAAAGCATGAACAAGTTTTTCTAAATCTTCACTAGAAACAAAGCATCTGATTCTTGCTATGTTTTTGAGATGATAGTATGCTGATTTACTGACTGCTTTGACATGACTGTTGAAACTCAGATCTGACTCCAGAGTCACACCAAGATTCTTGACCTTATTTTTTGTCGTTTGACCTTTAGTGCCAAGGTATGCATTTACCTTGAGAACCTCATCTTTGTTTCCAAACACAATCATTTCAGTTTTCTCTTTGTTTAACTGAAGAAAGTTTTGGCACATCCAATTGCTCATTTCATCAATGCATTGGCAGAGGGTGTCAATGGGGCTGTAGTCATTAGGCAGTAAGGCTAGGTAGATTTGAGTGTCATCAGCAAAGCTGTGGTAGGAGATTTGGCTCTTTCTCATTATTTGGCTTAGAGGGAGCATGTAAAGGTTGAACAGGAGAGGTGCCAGAATCGAATTAAGTTCTTAACAATGCATATTACTAATCAGAAATGGCATTTTTATCTATTTATGCCATGTCTTCATAAAACATGATATTTACTCAATATTTACTATAATTTGGCTATAATTCTAACCATTTTGACCCATACAATGTATTTTTGTCAAATGGCAAAATTATACTTGTGCAACAAAAGACTAGTTTTGTGGTCCAGAGTCACATTTGCACTCAATAATTTGGTGAATGCTTTTATCCAAAGTGACTTACAAATGAGATCAAGTAATTAAAAGTAACAAAAGACAACCTGTAAAGACATTTCTCAGTTAGTGTAATGCACTACACAAATGTTATAAATATAGTGCTCAAAAAAATAAGGTAACAGTTGGAGTTACATTGAGTTAAGTGTTCCCTTTATTTTTCGAACAGTATATATTATCACACATTCAGCTATGAATAACATGTTCTGACTAGAGTTAAATAAAGGCCTGGTTTTGCTTTTCTCTAGGCAGCTGATCTTGGTGAGGATGAGGCAGACCATGATTCATCCTGGAGTGGAATGAGAGGTGAGTTTGTGTTTGACTTATAGACCATAAATAAGAAGCATTTGTTCCACAAAAGATTATTGGTTGTAATTTGTGTTACTCTTTCTCTTTTTTTTCAATCTCTTCCTGTTTTCCATGCCTTTTCAGAGTACAAGGTAAGATATTGTGTTTTTAAGGGAATGCTGTAGCTTTTCAAGTCAGTGACTAAAATAGGTTGTTAGTAGACTGTTCTTATTGGAGGGTAAATTTTATATGAAAGTAACAAAGCATAACCAACCAGTATTAAATACAAATTTACTTGCATGGTAACTGGATTTGGTTTTAAGATGATATCAATAGTATTATTTGAAATGAATAGAAAAATTGTTCATTGTTTCCATTCTGCTTATGCTATTTTAGAGTTTTAAGCAGTGTTAGTTCTCATGACAGTTTTAGAAAATAACGCAAAATTTCGCACAGCATTTCGTGAAAATATGCATTTGTTTAAAATATGTCATACTGAGCCTAAACTATTGAATTGTAGCGTGTAATTGTGTGTCATATGCATGTTTACAGGTGTACCCATATGACATGCTAGCTGTGTCCCACAGAGTCCGAGTAAAACTACCACGTGATGTGGACCGCACCAGACTGGAGGTAATGCTTTATTAGAACTTCAACTACACCATTTCCCTGTTCTTCAGTTTCCTTCCTATGTGGTTTATTTTTAAGTTCATACTTTGCTTTCAATGCTGTAGATGATTTGTCTCTAGCCTTGTGTAGCCAGATCTTCAAAATTGTGGCTCTTTAGCAACTTTCACTTGCCAAGGATCGTCTAGTGGCCACTTAACTGACATTTAACTGACAAATAATAACAGATTTTGGTCAGTGTCATGATAATGGGATATTCATCCTAGTGATGTCTGCTTTTTAAAGCACTGTCGTATGAAGCTTTAAAACTGTTATGAATGGTTAGTTCCATGAACAGGGTTTTTATCATTGCTGTTTCAAAATGTTTCATAATTTCGTGGTTCTCCGTTGGGGGTATTACTCACACTCAAAATCCAGCGGTTTTGTGTCATTGTAGAAACACTGCTTGATCATTTTTACCAAACCCTGGTAAGTTTTATGATTACAAAAGTATGCTTATTTTAACCTATATTTAACAATATTAGACAATATCACAAAAGCTTTGCATTAGATAGACTATACTTTCAGTTTAAATTGTGTAAAGTTTGCTTCAATATTTATTGCATTTACAGTTTTGACCAGGTATCACTACACTAAAAAATGTAAGAGACAACAGATAGTTTTATGTTGCTTGAACTTATTTGAATAAGTTAATCAGGGTTCAACTAATTTTTGGAAAGTTATGCAAAGTTTAACTTAACACTTTTTAGTCAGTTTGATTGATGTAAGTTAATATGACTAGAAAAGGAAATTATGAGGTAAAGTCAGCAAGAAAATGTTTTGAGTGTAGCATAATATGTTTCAAAGCCTTCAAAGTTTCATTTCATGCATTACCTGTAACCACAAAATTAAAATATACTCTCAATTGAATGATCCTCATGTAGTTTCAAATCGTCATGAATTTCCTTGTTCTGTTGAACACAAAAGAAGATAAGGAACGTGTAAATTTGTAGCCATTGGCTTTCATAGTAGGAAAAAGTTGAAGTCAATAGGTGTTGGTTTGATTAAGATATCTTCTTGAGGAAAGAACTTCAAGCTTTTTGGAACAAGTGTAGGGTGAGTAAATGATGACATAATCTCCATTTTAGGGTAAACTAACCCTTCGGGCATGAAAGAATAACATAAATCCACAACAGCCTGTTGCCGTGGGCCGGGACAATCAATAAATCATTCATTCAAGAATAGAAAAGTCTCTCACATATTTTTGTTTTTTGTTTAGGACAGGCACTATTTTCCTTCATAAATTAGAGTTGTCCAGCATGATGGTTGCAACATAGGCTCATTCTGAAAATGTAGCCCTATGTACATTTCTGGAGATCGCAAATTATGTAGCCAGAGGAATATATAGACTTTCATCTCTAAAACGAATGCTACAGGGCAGTATGATGCCGTTTCTTTTCTTGCTTACGAGCCAACCGCTTACCTATGTTATGTAAGGGGGGTCTCTTCACACCACCACCACCAGTGTGCAGCATTCGCTTGGATGATGCTACAGCAGCAACGGTGGAAATCTGGCCAGGACACCGGATTACACCCCTACTCTTTTCGAGAAGTGCCATGGGATTTTTAATGACCACAGTGAGTCAGGACCATGCTTTAATGTCTTATCTGAAAGACTCCCTGCTTTCCTGCTGTTATCAGTTTGTCCAGTTAGCTTGACATGTATGTCGGTGGACTTGAGAAGCAGAGTGGAGTTGACCGTGATAACAGGGTCCAAGTATGACATTCGCAAGAGATATTTGAGATCTGAAAAAGCACCCTAAAGCAGATTTGCGAAAACAAAAAAAACTGCAAAAACACTTTGCTTTTGGGACGTATTTTGCACTCTACATAAATGTATATAGGAGTACGTAATTAGAATGAGCCTTGGTTGGATGGTTTACATGTAAACATTAAAGAAAAAGACACATCTCAGAAATCCTGTAAACTCCAAACAATCAAATAATGACTTTAATATTCCTGACTGAAACTAAGACTAAGTGGTACTTTTGGGATGATTTACATTTACATACGGCTGGAGCAAGGCTTGTCTTGTTGCTGTTTAATCATCATTTTGTTCAATATCAATCTGGATCACAGAAGCCAAAAAAATGTTTGCTTGTGAATGCGTATGTTTGAGAGGTTGTAGCATTATCAGACCGCAGTCCACATGCCGACAGATAATTTATCCCTGGCGTTCCTGGACACCAGTGTCAGTGTTATTAGTGGGTTTAAATGGAAAAGGGATGAGAAATATCTGGCGCGCTTTTACTTCAGCCTGAGTTACGAGAGATGCTAATTTATCGAGCCCACTCCCTATAACTGTTACTGTGGAATCACTGTGGTTAAAGCTGCAACATCTCAAAATCTGTGTGTTTTCATCATCATGTGATTGCTGTCTCGATATAAGAGGCTATTGTCACATCTGTTTGAACTAAGCTTGATTGGAGTCATCCTCCCAGCGGGAGACCCTTGCAACACCCAAAACGTTCCAAAGACGCTGATTTCAGCGTTTTATTTGGAGACACGCAAGACACCCAGACATCTGCAAGTGCTGGAGAACCACATATGACGGGCCTGAAAGAATAAAGATTTATACAAATGCATTCTGGAATGATTTAAACCCAAATTGAGGTCATAGGCTTACAAGTCTGGCAACTTTCACAGCCCCCCAGTGGTGCTCGTAATCCCGATGGTGCTGAAGGCAATGAATGTCCTCCACCATCCAATAGCTGTAAGTGACACATGCATATATAGCTGGTTGTAATTATTGTCAATATTGTATTATTTTTCAGTCCGCCTTTAATCTGGAATGACGTTTGTGCCATGCAGATATTGTTACCAGAATAAACAGTGCTTAGATTTCTGGCAGAGGTCTGTCGGGTTTGTTCTGATTTAGGTCTGATTAGCTCTATGACAGTGTTATTTTAGGCCTTTATAGATGGATGACTGTATCGCGGAGCTATTCAGCATGGTTTATAAGTGGTCGCTCACAGGGAAATTAATAATCTGTCATGATTTATTCTCTCTCTGAAACGACAAAACTTTCTTTTGTGCAGGATAACAGGAGATATTTAGAGGAGAAAGTCTGTGCTGCGCGTTTCCATACAATGAAAGTAGTTGGTGCCACAGCTGTGAAGCAAGACTTTCAAAGCAAAAAAAGAAAAAATGGAATTAATGAATATTTAAGTTTGAGTCTTTTCCTCACAAAGTTTTTATTGAATTTTGAAACATTTATTATTTGTAGTTAATGCTTAAATTAAACGACAGCCTTCAGTTTGATAGTCACACTAAGGGCCTTATCATACACCCAGTGCAATATGGTGCCAGGCGTGTATGGCCTGACTTCTGTATTTATTTTTATTTTCATATGGCAGGTTTCATTTTCATGTTTTGCACCCTGTTGTTTAAATTGCAAATCTTTTTGCACCACTTTGTGAACTTATGCGTGTGCTGATCTGAAAATGAGGTGTGTTAAGGTGCATTGCTGGCATGTTTCTATTTTGAAGCAACTGAAATAGATCGCACCATTGACCAACAAAAAACTGGTCAGAAGTCGTATTTGTTTTGGAGATGCATGCATTACCATATGGGACAATGGGAAATGTGTTTAAATATAACTCAGTTTTCTTTATTATTGTTCATTTATTTCACAAAAAACACATAACGGGCCGTGAACTCCCCCCACCCCCCTCCCCCCGGCTTTTATTTTTTGTTCTGTTTCTGAATTTGTTTTTAAAAGATGGAGTTTGATAAATTGGATGAGCTGGTCCGACTGTCACTGAAAACGGCCCTTACCTCAAAACTCTGCATTATAAGAAAAAGAAAACACACTGTACAGTCAGAATTGTAGCATGTATTCTTAACTTTTTTTGCACAGTGACGCTACTTTGAATGAGTCGGATTTACCTTTACATTATATGGCAACTGCGCTTCACGAAAGACGAAGTTAAGATTCCGTTCTTTATACCACATGGATAAACAAAATAGATAATAAGTATAAACAAGGATAATAAGGATAAACAAGAGACGAAAAAGAGATTATGGTGAGAATGAATGAATGAATGAATGAATGAATGAATGACAGCTTTTAAGATATGAGAGGCATCCCCTTTTTGCCCAGTAAGTTTATCTTGTGTTTTATTTGCTGATGTAAGCTATTTTTTAAAGATACATATAATTTATAACCATACATTATTTATATTACTTCATATCACCTCTTAAAAGCTTTTTGTATTAAAGGACAAGGTACAGATATTGATGTTTCACAGTGTTTTACTCTACATTATTTGAATCTAGCAAGCTTTGTAATGTTTACATTTTAAATCCAAATCCTAAAAATCAGAAATGACAACAGATTGTTAAGATTTAATTAATTAATTTCCATGTAATGTTATTGATTAATGCACTTACTTGACAGATTTCATTCATTCATTTTCCTTTTGCTTAGTCCCTGATTTATCAGAGGTTACCATAGCAGAATGAACCACCACTTACTTGACAGATTAAAAATAATAATAGTTTTTTAATAATCCTATCATTTCAGAGGCACCTGTCACCAGAGGACTTCTACAATGTGTTTAGGATGACCATTGAACAGTTTGACCGTTTGGCCTTGTGGAAAAAAAATGAACTGAAGAAGAAAGCCCGCCTGTTTTAAACCACGCTGAATCGCTCGAAGGAAAGCAAAGATAAAGAGAAAACCTCTTCTCATCCGTCCTGTGCGCACTGAGGGATGAGTGTGAGAGAAATATATATGCACCTCCGTTCTGCTGCATAGCTACTGCCATCCCATCTCACGCTGAGGAAGAGGAAGTGCTTTCACAACGCTGTTCGCCACCAAGCTTCATGTGTGAACGCCACATCACATGGTCTGAATGTTAATCCGAAACTGGAGTCGGAACTCAATTCTCCACGACTCTCTTTGATTGTGTTCGATTTCGCTCCCTCGGCTGTCTTTGTGATTACTGCGTTGTATTCTCTCTTTGTGGAAAAAGCACTCAATATTGATATAAGCCTCTTTCTTTACATTTTATACAGTTGATAAAACATGGCCAAGCAGCTCTACTTGTAAATCTTTATGCTGTGTAATAACATCCAATGTTCCCACTCCCCTTGTCTTTTGCTATGATTGTCGTCCAATGTCCTTGTCCTTGTCTACTCATATAGAGTGCATTATTCTGCCTCCCTACCACATCAGCAGATCTGGTTCCAGAAGTATTTTTACCATTCAATTTTCCGATAGGGATTAAAAAAATGTCATTATCAATAATTAAATGCTATGTGAAAAATCAAAAGTTTGATTTGAAACATAAGAGAAAAAATCCATCAAAAGAAAAAGTTTACAAAGAACTACAATCTCATGAAGCATTGCAGATGACACAGTTGAAATCAGTGGAAATATAAAACTCTTCATTTAAAGTTGTTGGTTGTATATTTATACCCCAACGTCAAGTTAATTACTGGTATGCAAAATTTTCAGGTATTTTGATTGTTCACAGCTGGTCCTGCATCAGTTCACGATTGATTTACCAATCAAATGATTCCTAACTCACTATAAATAGCCAGGGTTTTCTTTTCTCAGTATCTTCATCTTGAAGATGCTGAGTCCAAAAACACGCAACCTAAGTAAATTGAACATACCAAATTATACCATAGCCAAGCTCTTAGCAAGTGTACTTCACTCCTTAGACATACTGTATTTGTCATTAGTCAGAAATAAGACAGGGAGAGTTCATCGAGATCTACCTGAGCTTAAACTCCCCTCTCGCCCTGCAAATGGAGGGAGCCCAGGGCTCGAGAATCTCATAAGCTCAATCAACTAAGTGTGAACTATTGAATGCAATTTAGTTCTAGGTTTTTCGTCCGGTGAAAACCAAACTAGTGCAGAAACATTTTCTGGAGTCTTAAAATTAAAAGTTAAAAATCATTATTTTTTTTAACTTACTGTTGATAGGGGGCGCTAAAATGTTTAAGCCACTATTGCTAAAATAATTTTAACTCTTGAACAGAATTATAAACTGTACCTTTACTAAAGTCTAAATATGCTTGTGAAAACTCCATTTGTGGTCACAGTAAACAATTGCATTTGGCCAGGCGGTGGCACTATAACCTGAAAACACACAAACACAAAAGAGCTGAAAAACCATGGTCTCAATGAACTATTTGTTCTATTGGCTTCCCTTCAGATCAGATACGTGAGCCTGTGCAATGATATTTTGGATTTCGCTTCTTAGCAAAATTCAAGTTTAGTGAACTCTAAAGGCGTATCTATTCACACACTTGCAACTTCGCCAAATTAAAAATGCAAGTTCATGCCAGAAATTTAACATGTCCTTGCGTTGAAAAGTTCAAGTTTGGTGAACTCTGACCTGCAAATTACTATCATGTGATTGCATGAGACCCACAAAAGTTCAAAACTTGACCTCTCTACAGAATATATAAAACATGGAGGAATTGCTGGTATTAGCGTAGTCGTATCATCTTGTTTTACCACGCCCATTTTCGTAGCATTGTCCAAATGCATTTTTCTTAATCAAAGACTTGAGTGACTGCCACTTAATTTGCTAATTCAAGTCACATGAATTTGTGAGACTAATAGAAGAACAGAACATGACCTCTCTGTACAGAAGTTTAAAACGTGGAGGAATCGCTTTTTTAGCAGTGCCGCATCATCTTGTTTTATCCTGCCCATTTTCGCAAAACAGCCTCTCAGTGTGACAGTATCTATAGATGTACTTAGGAAAAGAATGTAATCTCATGAAGCATTGCAAATGACACAATTATATGTAAAACAACAGAGGAATATAAAAACTTTTATTTAAAGTTGTTAGTTATATCCATACCAATATTTAATTATCTGGATCAGGGGTTCTCAAACTTGGTCCTGGAGGGCCAGTGTCTTGTAGATTTTAGCTCCAACTTGCCTCAACACACCTGCCTGGATACTTCTAGTATGCATGGAGTTTGATTAGCTGGTTCAGGAGTATATAATTGGGGTTGAAGCTAAAACCTGCTGGTCACCGGCCCTCCAGGACCGTTTGGGCACCCCTGATCTAGAGTGTGTAAACTGATTTGTTATTTGAGGTGGTTCATGGATTGGATGATCTCTGGTAGCTCTTTGCTCGCTTTAACTGTCCGATTGGTACAATTTCTGTAAAGCATTATGGGAAATGCTGGACAGATCGTCAGAAAAAGCATATACAATTGGTTAACAACACTGGAGCTCACAGCAGGTCTGCCTTTAAAGGTTTTCCCTATAGAAAAAATGAATGAGTTTTTACTTCTGGATCCTAACTGCTTTATTGTTTGCTCAGTGTGTTTCTCTCGCTCTTTTAACCTGCCTGTTCCTCTTTATACCTCCTAAACATGATACTCAGCCACTGCTTGGACTGTAAAATCTATCATGTATTATCAGCTTTATGGAAGCTTTGTCGTTCATGGCTTTAGCATGACCAGGCCAAAGACTCGTTCAGAGCAAGAAGTCAACAAAGCACCTTACATGTGACCTAACCAGACGTGGCGCAATAAAACGACAAACTTTTTTTAAATGTCCTTTCCAGCCTCAATAGTGACAAACAAAGAGCAACAGAACTCTTGTTTGATCGATTGGTTTCTAGTTTCATGACATCTCACTGTTTTGCCCTGCCCACTGTGAAATCTCACTGGTTCCTTGAAACATCATTAAAGGGACGCTTAACATAAAAATAAAGTGTTGCTCTTCATTCAAAAAATTCCCCTGCTCAGTTTCGGCACTAAATGCAGCCACAGCCTCTCACATGACAGCAGGGAAAGGCTCAGCCAATCACAGTGATCATTTGTTTTGGGGGCGGTACAACTCGAGTATAGAATGTGATTTAACCATGTCTAGGTTAATACTGACAGCGTGATTTTTTTAAAGTGAATTAATTATAAGTGGGGACATTTCAGTAGTCGGTGGATATTGGACTGGACACGTCACTTTTGTCCATGCTAAATCTACGCCCATGCTTATAACAAATATCATTAAGTGTCATTCGCTCTGCTATGACATTTTAAATGCAATGATGGCAATGTGTGTTCCCTGCAGACACAGGACGTCAACATGACGTCATATTGACGTTGTACCCAACGTCATGGTAACGTTGGATTTTGTTTGGAAATGAAAATCGGGTTGATGCCAGAACCCATATTTAGGCCGACATCAATGTCCAACGTTTAACAGCAAATCAACCTAAAATCAACCAAATATCAAAGTCTAATCATGTTACACCTTGATGTGTGGACGTTACCATTATGATGTCTATCAGACATTGGATTTTGGTCACTTTCCAACACAACCTAAAATCAATCAAATATCAACATTCTTTGATAGCATTATTGGATGTCAAATTACGTTGTCCTTGGACATTGGCTAGACATTGAATTTTGTCACTTGCCATCATGACCTAAATCTAAACTAATATCAATATCTTATGATGTTGTGTGCCTGCTGGGTTATGACAAAAAGACGGAATCAAATCACGTGTTTTTGTCTTTGGCATGACAACTTATTACCAAGACAACAAAACTTGTCATAAATCTTGCATAAACATGATTGTCATCAAGCCATTATAAATGTGTCATGAATTTTATTACAGCGTCATTCTTTTTTTTTTTTTTTTTACCTCAAGTACACTGGTACGAGCTGAATTTGTCATTAGAATGTCATTAAATATTAATGACACTGTTAAGAAAATATTTGACACTTTTAATGAAACATTTTAATGACAAATACTGAAAATTGTCATCATAAAAATGTCTATGACACAATTATAATGGCCTCAAGACAATAATGCTTATGACCAGATATGTTGTCTTGGGATTGTCAAGTTGTCATGACAAAGACCAAGACTTGTGTTTTATTTATGTCAAGTTGTCATAACAAACAATGTGATCTTTGCATTTAAAATGGCATAACTGAGCAACATAACAGTATCACAAGCATGCATAAAACCTCATTCACATTCATGACAATGTCCTATGTCATTTTTATAAAGGTTTCATGACAGTCTTTTGAAAACCTCTTAAAATAAAGTGTTTCTGTTGATACATTGAGGTATTATGAAGTAAACAATTGGTCTATACAAGAAACTGAACCTTAATTACAACATTACATTTATTCCATATAGTCTCTGTGCAAGATCACAAATGAGCTGAAGTTCCCTTTAAATATGCAGTGTCTTCTCATTGGCTGTGATTTGTGTCACATCATGCTTCAGTTTTTGAATATGTCATATTGCGCCTGGTTAGGATACAGTGTTAGTTGATATGTTCCTTGTTAATCGTTGTTGAATGATAGTGAGTGTGAACAGCTGGAACAATGCATTGTTTTTGTGTTAAATTATGTATTTCTTTGCTTCTTCAGGTAAATGTGCAATTCATCCTCAGAGATTTATCATATCACAGTTATTCAGTAAGACATTTAGACTTTGAAATTGATATCTGAACATCACATACTCTTTCCATATATATTGTGCACAATACGCACAATCATAAACGCATCAGCCAGACATGGCATCTGTCTGTATTGTTTTAATCTGCACAAATGAAAGTACTCACGACAGAGTAAACTCTTATTTTTATATGCCTTTTCTTTTCATACAGATGTCTGCCAGATTATTTCCATTTGCAAAAAACGGACTTTAGCATGAAGCCATGCCAAAGTTAACAGTATCTGTAGCAATTAGCTAAACTAATACAACACAACATCTAATGAAGCATGCGGTTCAGTGGCGCTTCATTTTATGACGGTTTTCTTTTGTTTTTTGATTGTTGATAAATGTGTGTGCATTATATTAATATATATATAAATGTCTGTTACACTGATCATGTCACTTTGTAGGCATGCACTACAAACAGAACCATCATGTGAAGGCATAATAATGAATATTAGATTGTAATGATGCTGTGTTTTTGATTTGAGATCTGAAAGTTATTGTTTTGTTTCCTCGGACACATTCTTAAAAGGATGGTTTCCCCAGAATATGTATTGTTAATGTAGTCACCCTCAGGCCAGATGTAGATGACTTTTTCTACAGTAGAATAGCAGATTTTTCGATGAAGCCATGCTCCTTTGTGATTCAAAATGCAAGTCAACCAGCGGATTCGAATGTTATCACTCGATTGAATTGGTGTTATCAGTAGGCGCATGGTGTTATCCATTCACATGGTTAATTAGCTATAGATTAAATACCGCCTTGAAATAATAATGATAATTATTTATATTGTTTATTAAATTTCTCATTATTTTGTATTTTTTTAACATCTACCCCTACTCCAACCCTAAACCCAACCATCACAGAAATCTAAAAATAGATCTGGAGTCTTCTCTATTAGGCATAAAGTGGAGCTTTTTTACAGTAATTTAAGGTTCAAATACTGCATTTTAGTGATCTTTTAAGCACTAATTTGGGCTGGATTAGCTTGTCGAATGTTATCTTTACCACACTTTTTGATGCAAAAAAAAAATACTTCCTACATTTATGTGAAAGTGCTTATTATACAACTTTTTTGTTTACAAAAATGTATGTTTATTTACAAGTTTATTTACAGTTTTATATACAACATAGTGAGATTAGGATTTTAGAAATATGAAAGAATACTTATTTATAAATGCTAATTTATCATCATCCATCATAAAAAAACAAACAACAAAAAATTGGGCAGCTGTTAAAATTTATTTACATGAAAAACTGTAGCCTATATGCAGCTCATTTCCTCAGTCAGAATTTGTCCATTTAAATAATAAAAAAAGCCGTCTTTTATTAGTTATTTTATTGGTTATTCTTTTTAAAGCCTTCTATTGGTTATTTTCACAATTGGGATGGCATGTTGTCAAAAAATGGGTCAAATGAGCTTATAAAGGCACCAAATTCTGGACTTTGTCAGAAGGAGGGTGGGTCTTTCAAACCACCCAAACCCCCTGATCCCCCACCCCCCAGCTACGGACCTGGTATAGCTGATTAACCATGTGGATGGATGATAGCCTTCTGAGCCTACTAGTAGGTGCAGAAGACCCCCTACTGGCCCATATCTATTAGCAGATAACCATTGATAACACCCATTCAATCGAGTCCATTCAAGAGGCTGAGTCAATATCACTTTAAGAGTCAACAAACATATAAAGGCAAAACCAGATTATTACACATGGCTGATGTCTTTTAAAGCAAACAAATAGCCAGTGCAAACAACAACAACAACAACAACAACAACAAAAATAGCAAATCAATCTCCAAAGCATCAGCTAAAATCTTTAATGTTCCACTGATTCAAGTCATCCACATCACAATTCATCAGTTGTAGCTTTAAGTTCCTTAATTATTTGGAAGAATGAAGAAAAACAAGTGTTTCGTCCTTTTAGTCATACAAATTTATCACATACTGTACAAAAAAAGTCATGACAGCATATGTTTTTTTCTTCAATTTGAGTAAGTCAATCAGGCTTTGACTTAATTTTTTATATTAAATTTTAACTTGATGTTTTTAAAAGTCAGCTTGACAAGTTGAAATAATAATAATTAAGTTTAATAATTAAGTTGGTAATAAAAAATAAAATTAAGTTGGTTGAACTTAAAAATGTTTTACATTTCAGAAGTTTGAAACTGTTTGAAGCCCCATTACATAGTTCTGTCTTATGAAAACCCATGTGCAACATGTGCCTGTCTTGAACAATATCAAGGCATCTTTGGATTTTTTAAATTTTTTTCTCAGCAGGGAAACTCTTGCTTTCTTGTTGATTGTGAAAGTATAACATTTCTAACCAACTATAAATGTGTGCATATCCAGATCTATTTCTTCAGGGTCATATATAATGTAACATTTGTCATGCAGTAGGCTACATTTTAGCCATCGCTGGTTTTGCCAAAATCTGTTGTTCTGGGGAAAAATACACAGTAAGGCTCATCTCAAACACATGAATGTGTTTCGGTCTGAGTGTGTAGGTGAGAGTCTTCCCAGAAGAGCTGTGGAGGATGAATGCGCTGCTCTTATTTAAACAGCTGTAGAAACAGGCACGCGTGTGGTGTTAGCTGACAGATCAGCAGTGGAGACTAGGTGAGTTCAGATCAGTGTGTGCTAAATCATCTTCATTATTATTGTTTTTTACAAATCACTGTTCTAGCAAGGAGGCCATGTCTGCATTTGCCCCGGTTCCATTTATGTGTTCTCTTAAAATATGGTTTGCTATTGTGTATGTGTGAAGTCTCTTTGTCTGGATGAAAGCAGATGTAGGACTGTCTGTGACCCAAGAGAACTCTGACCCACAGTTTTGAGAGCTGCTTTCCTACTTTTGCTACTGTTACACATGAAGAGAGCTTGTGCCTGTTATGACTGCTTTCAAACAAATGTTTTGTTTTATACATAGAAAGTTCGAGAGACCTCATTCTGAAGTTATATTTGTGTTAAGATGAGCTCACAGGACATAATGGGTTTTTCCATGTGTGTGCTGCAGGTTTTTTTGTTTGTTTGTTTGTATGCAAGCTAACTACAGAGTACAGTTTAACTGTGATTGTGATGTTATTCTGACTGTGCAATGTAAAGAGTTTGGGAAATGTAAATGCACCCATTTTATTCACCATATCTTTGAGTTGCTTTGCAAGAAATAATGATATTCATCTCAATAAATACAGCTATTTCAACTGACAAGTGTTTTTTTTCTGTAAGAAAAGTTTCTGACTTGATAGATAGAA